TCGGAGTGTGAATATTTGGAGCAATCTGAAAGTACGCAGTATAATAGAGGCCCACAACTATTGTAATGTGTGTATATATACATAATATGGCTCATATATTTTGGAAACGTAGGCATGAATACATACCAACGTTCTTATATGTATACTAGCTGACCCAGCGAACTTCGTACCGCCCTAAAAAAATAGGGGTTGTCCAGCGGACAAAATTGTGAATCTAAACCATTCTCAGATACCCTTGAACACACACAAAAAATTTCATCAAAATCGGTCCAGTCGTTTAAGAGAAGTTCAGTGACATACACACTCACAGAAGAATTATATATATAAAGATATAACGCATTTGAGTGAAGGGGCATCATCATATATATTTACTGTTTTAATTTAGGGGTAGTTTTAAGGGTAGAAAAGCTTAAGAATATGATAATCATTTTCGAGTGTGGAATAATATTTAAATCCTTTTCATTTTATCAAAAAAAAAATTTTACAATTTTTTATCAAGGGGTAGTTTTCAAGGGTTGAAAGGGGGTTAAAAATTTGATAATTATTATAGAGAATATAAAATATTACTTACTCTATACTTACATCTTTTTATGTCATACTAAAGTATTTTTTGTGATTTTTTCAATTTAGGGGTTAAAGAAAGGTTTACTAGAAAAAAATCCACGCGGACCAGGCAGCGGACGGGACTCGAACCCGCATCCTTCGCTATCCGGGCGAATGCACTGACCATTATGCTACCACGGCCCTATTAGCCGCGTCGAAATTTTTCCTAGCCTTAAGCTGCAAGGCAGCGCCATCTCTTCGCATTGTAGGTAACCCACAATGTCAAATGAATACTTTTTCAAGTAGGTATTATACATTTGAAAGAAGAAATAGCAATTATAGTTATGATTTTATTTATTTTTTAAGCATTCAACTGCTAGATGTTTAAATCTAAAGAAAAGTTTACTAGAAAAAAATCCACGCGGACCAGGCAGCGGACGGGACTCGAACCCGCATCCTTCGCTATCCGGGCGAATGCACTGACTATAATTGCTATTTCTTCTTTCAAATGTGTGATCAGGCGAGGCGAACGGGAGTTGAGTGAGGGATGTAAGCAAGAGAAAGCAGTGCGCGCACATTTGTTTATTACACACATATATATATAAAGATACATAAGGAGCTAAAGAAGTTGAGTGTGCTTATGACCACAAGACTGAAGTGATTCAGTCTTGTGGTCATAAGCACACTCGTTTTTTTTAAATAGAAAATATTTGCCGATATATTTGTACGCACATAACTTCGGTTAGACTACGCCATCGCCAAATTTGCAAAAAAATATTTTTTTATGTTGTAAATCTTTCTTGTCAAGACAAGGTTTATGTAAAAGTAAAAAATGTCTACCAAAAATGGCGCAACGAAGTTCGCAGTTTGTAATAAAAATTTTGTAAGCTCAAGAGGTTTATGTCCTAGAACCTTACAAAGGCGACAACTTACGCGCGATGGTACCATATCTACCTCTATTTGTTTATTTAATAATTATCATTGTTTATAAGTAGTTCCATCTTCGATTTTGGTCGGTGTTTTTTTATATTCCATCCTATTTAGTGAAAAATGAATCGTCCAAATAAACAAAAACGTTCATAAAATAAAAACTATGGAGTCAAACTAAATTTTTATATGGAATGAAACGGCAAGTATCTTCCATCGTTTAAAAGAAGAATCACTCAAATCGGACCAGAAATCTTTAGTAATAGGTGTAGGTACTGTAACGTCCGTTACGTTACAGCCTCCTTGTTAAGGTAAACTTTTTGCTCTTGCAATGCCCACGGTTGGCAGTTATATTAAAAAGTTAATGTCATGATTTTAAGATTTGAAATAAGGAATCATCTGTCTTTCGATAGAAGGTTCCATACAAGAGACGATCTTCAGGCACAAACCCTTTCGTAGCTTAGATAAAAAACTTGTATTCGCCTGGATCAAATAAATGTAATTAGTAGTTACGTCCCTAGGTTCTATCCACTCTGGCTAGAACTCCGCAGTACCTACATATGGGCTCTAAACGGGGATTTTGGGATTTACTCTAGGAACCTTGCATATTGTGAAGTACTCTCTCCATACCTTAGCCCTTTATATATCGTTGGAGAAACTCCAGCGCGTCAGATTAAAAGGCAAGTTAAAGTACCATGCAAAAAAGTGTCCATTTCAATAATCTGACAATTTGAGCGTGACAAAAGGAAATGGGAAAGTCAAAAAGTTGTAAAACAAAAAATTCGCCACCTGGACATTTTCGAGCGCAGATTTTTTTTTATTTTGAAGGAAATTAATCACGGAAGTAACATAATCTGGCGATTTTCACAAGCGGAAGTAGCTTAAATCATCAGCTAATAGAGTCAAGATGACTGTCGTTGAGAGTAATATGTCTATAAGTATTAGTGTTTTTTATTATTTTTTTTTCGGTGCATGCAGTCGCTGAGAGCTATGTAGGTATGTGTAAATGTTATAAGGATATGAGGATGCCGTCATCACATCTGATATTCTAGGGAATACTTAGCTTCAGGTATGATTTTTTTTCAATATTTCAATAATATCATGATAAATAAATAAAATAAAATTTAAGTATCTTAAAAATTGTTGAATCGGAGTTCGAAAGATGATACCACTGATGACGAAGATTGAAAATATTCATACAAAAATAATATGTCGTTATAAGTGGGTACTATTTTTGACGTGACAACGTCTTAAATTAGGTTGCGGCTGGGAGTCACTTATGAAAAAGTGTAATGCTCGGTAACGTTACGATGAGTCTCTCGTGTTAAGTTTAAGTTTACATGTACAATGTTTTAGTAAACAAAATATATTTCTATAGTTAAAATTTGTGCAATTCTTATTTTCATTCAATTCCTTGTTCCTATTGTGCAATTTAATTATATTCATATCAATAAATATTCTACCGAGAAAAAGACGTTGTCACGTAAAATCTTCGCCCGTAAAACCGACTTTACAGGCAACCATTTTTTTATTAAATACAGGATATGATTTTTTTTCCTGTATTTATATTTTATATTGTATTTATTACATTCAATAATTTAAATAAAATATATGAATTAAAAAAAAATGTTTTCAAATCGTCAGATTACGGATACTCGCCCACTTAATTGTCAGATTATTGGTCAGTACGTTAGGGGCAGCAAGATGAAGCGACTATATAATAATCTTAGGCGCTCGAGTATTTTAAGGTCCCGATTTTTTCTTCACTAGCGACCATTACTTATGTTCGCGTCCAAATCGTCAGTCGTTCGAATAGGAAGGTTCGCGTAACATCCCTTTTGAACGGCTGACGCGCTTGAATTATTTTTTTATTCCCGTTTTCTAAGCTTTGTACGGCCACTTTTCCGTTATCAAAGACACTTGGGGCACTGTTTAGTAGTCGTGGTGATATAGTTATTGTACTTGCAACACCCTGACAGGGTCATGTACCATGCTAAAATAATTTTAAGATCCTATATATACTGTACATGTGCAATTAATTAAATAAATTACACAATTAATATCTGACAAGCTCCAGTATGTCTATATGACTGTTTATTTTTACATTTTTGGTAACCTGTACACAAGTGAAAAGGCAGGTATACATTTTTTAGCATCTTAACTTCACAATACAATAGGTCCCAACGACGCTTGAGTAAATCTCTATTAAGCATAGTGGGCTTCCCTACTACAAAGTATCGTGAAAACGAAATCGTCAAAGTAACAAAAATGCTTCATCAACAGCCTATCTTAGTCCACTGCTGGACATAAGACTTCTCCAATTGCATGCCACTGAGATCGATCTTGGGCTTCCCGCATTCAGCTCCTGCTAGGCACCTTGCGCAAATCGTCACTCCACCGTGCATGAGGACGTCCTACACTACTAGACGAATCCCGACGCGAATCCGTCCCCACTGTGCTGAACAAAGCTTGCACTTTTAAGTGAATCGTTATTTTCTAGATCGTTTCTGAGACTGAACAATTATCTAGCGGTATTGGTGATCGAAGGTACGGCACTTTTAAAAAAAAAAAACAATTATTCGCCGTTTTTAGTAAAAGATTTCTAAAAATTAAATTGAAAAACACGCATCTAACTATTGACCACACGACTGAAGTGAAACTTCTTTGAATCCATCTGTATGTATGTATATACAGTGGTGGTCACATAATTAAAGACACTCCCTAATTGATCACAAAAAAACTTACTTAAGGTACTAAAATTAGCTAAAATTGGTATTTAATCTAGTGCAATTGTTCTTAAACTATACACGACGTTGTATTCTTACAATGTGGGACATAAAATAGTTGTGTTCGTTAGTTTAACGTACTTTTCACCCAAAAAGTTCCTTAATCCCGACTTGGCCAAAAAAATCTGGCAACGCTGCTTTCTCTTGCTTATAGCCCCCAAGCAAATTCCGTTCGCCAGTCCCCCCCCCCCCCCCCAAGTCAAGCGTTCGTAAAGAAGTTTCACTTGAAAAAGGAAACGGATATTGGGTCGATGATTCAATGTATTGTAGTCGTATTCTGCAATCGCTTGTAGTGAAGAACGTAGACAGTAGCACCCCAGCCAAGTAGATCAGCAGCAGATTGCATTGGTACAGATAAGCACACAAATTTATCTTGCATCATAAACGGTTAACATTTGCAATTTGTTGATAGAAAAAAGTTCTAAAAAGGCGATCAATGCAATAGGGATGATGACTAATTTTTTTTTCTTCGTTTATCAGGTAGATTATCAAAAAGGTAAATACGCACACGTACTTTTTCTTTTTTCCCATAATATAAACATTGCAGGGATATATTGATTTGAAAAGTCGCATGACGTCACGTTTGAGTACACTTTTAAGTGAAAATTCACTAAAAAGTGACGTCACGAGCCCCTACTCCCAAACTTTGACGCGCTATAACTTTGTAATTTTTTGGTTGATTGCCCAAAGAAAAAATACGTGTCTATTATTTTTTGATCATCTAACTGACGGACTGAATAGAATTTCGTTTACTGTACCCCGTCATCACCCAAATTAAAGGATGAAAATCTAGAATTCATCTTGAGTTCGGCAGGTGTTGAGTGACGCACTGGCAACTGTTCGCGAACGCAGCTGTAATTCAAAGAAAACACAAGAAATACTAGACAATGTGTGCAAAGGGCACCCGACACCCGCTGCAGTGATACCCCTGTTCCACATATTCAGACTACAATAAAAATTGAGGTGAAATTTTAAAATTTTATTCAAGCACAATATGACAAACATTTAAGCATGCAATTTTTAATTTATAAACTTCTTATCTACGGGCGAACATGTAATGTCTCATAAATCTAAATATCCGAGAAACTACCTTTTTTCAAGAAGCCCATAACGTTTAATCTCTATAAAAATATGTTACATATAAACAATGTTCGAAAATAAAACATAGTAGGTACGCTGTGCACGCCTCTTAGCTATGTAAAATATTTTTATATTGCCAACCTACTCTACCGATGTGACGACGCTACAATATGCCCCCTATATAAATATACGAAAACGTGTGTTAGTAACTATCAAATATATTATAATAATAGTGCTGTTTCATTTCGAAATGCTCTCCTACCCTCACCGCATATTATAAAGACATTTAAAAGCGAAACTAGATTTATCAAGATTTCATGAATTATTTTTTAATAATTAGATACTTTAACGAAAACAAAATGGGCGTAGCCCGTTTCTAATTTCGCTGAAAACTTGTGAACATTACACAAACTAAGGCTATACAGAATATATAATTATCATCGATTTCGAAAGAAAGACGATTAAAAAAACAAATCCGCCCTTTACTGGCGTAATGATAATAATAGTAACTCGTGTCCGAGAAAGTAGATGAGTCTCCAATCTTCTGATCGTCCGGTGGTTCGTAGATATTTCCAGGGCTGATTCGGGTGACACGGGCGGCCGAAGAGTTGCTTTGCACACATTGCTAGCGATATTAAATATGTCAAAATGGAAACAATTTGCTCACGTAACTTTTTAAAGGAAATAAATAAATGAACTAAACAATTACAATTCAGTCATTTGATAAACTTTTAACTATTATATTGGTATCTCCATTTCAACATTATCAAATAACAATAAAAACACGCTCGCCGAGTACAACTGTGCCGTTTTAAAGTTGCAACTTTTTTTTAAAAATAGCAATGCGATAAATTGAAATTCATTAAAACCATTATTAATAAACGTGGAAAAGACTTAGGTTTTGTTACGCCGTTTTTTGTTCATATCATTCAAATACCATGTGTAATTCAATGAACAGAGACAAAACATGAGGCAACTGATCCAAGCTAAGCAAGGCTGTCGTCCACTGAGCGGAGAAACGGATAAATATTAACCAATCTGAATGCACCAAATTCCCGCTCCTATTAGAGTACACAGATTTTGTGCAATCTTATTGGTTAATATTTCTCCGTTTCTCCACTCCATTGGACAGGCAGCTTTATTCTACGTTTATTATTAAGTGGAATAATGTTGCAAGTGAATTTGATTGTGAAGTGACTATTATATTTGAGTGATGTGCAATAATTGTTCTAGACGCGCGTAGAATGTGTATCAGTTAGCGACCGTACCTGGCCCGGGTCACTCCACTTGAGCGCCCAGGCTGGTTCCTCTTCTGCCCGCGCCCGGAGACAAACAAAACACCATTTCGGTAACCAATAAGGCACTCGTATATTTCAACTTTGTATAAAACGTTAAATCTTTGGCGTTACGTACGATCGTACCAATTGATTCCTGACCCAATTGCCTGATGATTCGCTTAAAAATGTCAAAACAGATAAGTTTTCTTTTGTAGAGAATTCGTAAATTGCACTTAGGACCTTCTAAGAACGAGGAAACTGTGTTAGTTTGGATCAAAGTTATTTGAAATTTAAACTTTACTTTCAGTGCAATAGATCATGTTATAAATAAAATTGAAATAGTACTTCAAATTTCGAAATCACTAAAATCGTTATTGTAACAGAAACTCTTTCGATTACTTGACATAATTAAAAAAAACGTTAGTAAACTAATAAGAAAATTCTTAGTCCATGGGCAAAACTAAAAAATAATTTAATGTCAAAATTATGTCACAGGAAAGCGGCAAAATCTGTCACGTCAGATATAATTGTTCAGACATCAATCAACAAGTTTGTTTCGCGGGATAAGTACTTTTAAGCAAAAATCTAAATGGTTGTAACAAAATAAGCTTATGGTGGGTTAGGAATCGAATTGGCTGTTTGCACTTTGTTCCGTCCCGAGTCTCGGTTAGACGCCCGCTCGCGTGTGCTTTATTCGTGAACGGTTAAGGTTCAATTTGGCGCGCGTGTAGCCGAGACTCGTCCTCTTCGGGCCCCGTCGCGTCACCCGAATCATTTCCACTGGAAATAGTCCATTTTCCATCTTCGCCGATGTCAAGCGGCCGCTTCTTTCACCTCGCTGGTAGTCGTCGATTCGATCTCTGTTGCCCCTTTGGCCTCACCGAACATATCGACCTTTTCACTATTCTCAGTATTTTCACTACTAATTTTCTCTTTGTTGTCTTCAGGCTGTTGTACAGGCACATTTTCCTCCATTGCGGGCGGTGGCATCGAAAAACTCGTGTCTACCGCTTCATTGGCGTCGTATAAATCAGTAGCGATTTCTTTAATGGCATCATTGTTACATGAAGGCTCACTTTCAACGGGCTCCGGTGGTTTTTGTTCAACATTATCGTGAGCGCTATCATCTGTCATAGCAAAATTTTCCTCTTTTGTAGGACTTTCTGTATTGTTTTGAACAATATCTTCTCTCGTTTCATAGCTTCTGTCATCTGAAATTGTTTGTTCTGCGTTGCGATCATTGTCCACAAGTGATTGTGTATCGACTTCTCGATTGATTTCTTGTTCTATGGCTTTATTGATTTCAATTTCTACACTAGTCTGTGTTTCGTGTTGTTCTTGACTAGGAGCTCTGTCATCTTCAACAACTGTTTCATTGTTACTGATCGGATCCTCAATGTTATCCTGATCTTGGCTGACGATCTCCTCTGCAGCGCCCCATCTGGATTTTCTGTCTTTATCTCTCCTCGAGTTGCGCTCTTCCCTCTGCGTTTCTTTAGAGTGATCTTTCGGAGCGTCCTTATGAGTTTCTTTCGTGGCATCTTTGGGCGGGTCCCTAGATCCTTCTCTCGAATCTCTCTGGGGTCTGGATCTGTCATCGAAATTCCTCCTTCTGTCGTTCCGATCCCTAAATCGACTGTCGTCGTGGTTGTCCCTGCTTCTCCTGTCCCTCCTGCGGTCGTCCCATTCGTTTCTCCTGTCCCAATCTCTGTTATCTCGGTCTCGATCACCGTTCCATCCCCTATCGTTGAATTGCTCTCGGTCTTCGAACCTTCTGTTATTTCTGTCGAAGAATTCAGGCGGTCCGTCGAATCTCGGAGGTCCGTCGAAAGGTCTTTCTCCATCGAACTGTCTAGGTCTATCAAAAGGTGGCCTCGGTCCATCGAATGGCGGCCTCGGCCCGTCAAAGGGAGGTCTAGGCCCATCAAACGATGGCCTGGGTCCATCGAACGCTGGTCTCGGTCCGTCGAACGCCGGCCTTGGTCCATCAAATGCCGCTCTAGGTCCGTCGAAAGCCGGCCTTGGGCCGTCAAACGGAGGCCTCGGTCCATCGAATGGTGGGCGATTCATCGAGTCAAACGGCATTCTATTAAACGGTGGTCTGTCAAACCGCGGTGGGCCGTCAAACATTGGTGGCCCTTCAAACGGTGGCCTTTCGAAAGGAGGCCTATTAAAAGGCGGCCCCATGCCGTTGAAGCGAGGTGGTCCGTCCATCCAAGGCCCTGAAAAACAGATAACTACAGGTTAGATGCTTGTTATTTTGGATAAAAGTTGAGATGTCGAGGGTCTTGTGTCGTACCTGCCATCCCAGGTCTAGGTGGCCCTCTCATTCTCAACTCTGAAATTGAAAGATTATTACTTCAATATTTGTGATTAAATTGACAACAAGTCTTCATTACCACTAAATGGAATTTTGTTAAGAATCTACTATATATAATCTTCAGGTTATGATATTTTAAATATTTTTAATGTAAAATCTGAGTTACATTTGTGAAGTGCGGGAATTGGGGCCACTTTGGCGGATTTTCTATGTATGCTGATAACAAATAATTTTTAATAACAACTTCTGCAGTTATAATATCGATGTGATGATAATTGCAATGGTATTACGAGTCACTAGTTGCTTTTTATTTATTGGTTACTTCTTGAAGATACGGTACTCTCATACTAGCATCAAATAAAATATGTTCGGACTCAACTACATAAGAAACTCTCACACACGCACACTTCTATAAATAAACATTCAATCGAGCGAGCGAGACAGAATTTTACGCTTCAACGCAGCACGAGCGAAACGGCGCAAGTCCGCGTCACTTTGGTGCCGACTGCGTTTTCTATTCTCTCTCTACAGATGGCTGAGTTGTATTGTTGTCATTTTCTTGATAAAAATGGCGAATCAGTAAATAACATTCATGTACATGGGTGTGTGAAAAAGAGGTATTCATACTTTTACGAATCCGAAATCTGTTTTCAATTTAGATCATGCGGAAATTAAATATAAAGACGGTAATGCGAAAATAAGACCAAAGATTGCAACTAATTGAAGATTTGCCATAAAAATAAGTTTTCATGTTTTTTACTGACTAGCCGATTTCTCGCTAATTAAGAATTTAACGCCCGACATTTTCGGCCGATATGCTTTATTATGAAGTGCGAACAGAATGAGCTACTATAAATTTGAATGTTTTCAGTCACATAAGTTGTCCTTTGCGTGTAAGTTGGTAGTGTTATGTGAATAATGTGGACTCACCGGCCCTAAAGGGCGGCATGTGCGGCGGCGGCATCCTGGGCGGCAGCTGGGTCCACCCCCCCGGAGCCCCCGCCGGAGCCCCGTTCGACCCCGCGTTAGCCCCAGAATTATCGCCTTCTCCTAAAGAGATGTGACATCGTAAACAAGATTTAACAAACATAAGTTTGAGGATGTCCGTGGCCGACTAGTTTATACGCCGGGTTAGAATCCCGGTGGGGGTAGATGTTTGTGTGATGAATATTACGAGCATTTGTACTCTAGTCATAAATAAATAAATAAATATTTCCAACACTCACACCAATTAGCCTAGCCCCAAAGTAAGCACTATTAAGCATGTGTTATGGGATACTAGGGTAACGGATAGAATACATATACTGTACATATATAAGTATATTTTTTTATAGTAATACATATTAAACATCCATGGCTAGAGTACAAATGCTCGTATTCATCACACAAACATCTGCCCCCACCGGGATTTGAACCCAGGACCTCACGAGTCGGCGACACTATGTAACCCGGCGTACAAACCACTCGGCCACGGAGGTCGTCAAAGTCATGGATGTTAAATATGTATTTCTATGCACATGTATATGTATTCTATCTGTTACCCTAGTATGCCATAATACAAGACTACAGTGCTTACTTTGAGGTTAGGCTAATTGGTAATTTATAAAAAAAATAACACATACGCGCAACGAATCCCTACTAATATTATCAACACGAAAATTTGTATGTTTGCTGCTCAATCACGCAAAAACTACTGAAGAGATTTGGATGAAAATTTATTCACTTATAGTTAATGACCTGAATCGAGACAGGATACTTTTATCCCGGAAAAGTGTCAGGTTCCCGAGGGATTTTTAATAAACTAAAGTTACCGCAGACGAAGTCGCGGGCAGCCGTTAGTTAAAATTTAATATGGAATACGAACTGCGCTAAAAAGTGGTTCCATGCAAACTGCGGTACGAAAAAACTGCGATGAGCACGTCGATCATAAGATTGATTGGGATTCCTTTTAACATTATTTGGATAGCCGAATTCCTTTGTAGATAATTAAAGTAGAACTTTTTATTAGCTGCAGTAAAATGACGTTTGGTGGGTTACCGCTTTTTGAAGAAAAATAAATAGGGATGTAGCTAAGTGAGTAAGTGAATCATTCAATAAATTAATGATCAGTTTGGTTTCGTTTAAGTGATTTAATATTAAGTTGTAATGATTTTTTATTCTATTATTATTACTATAGTAAAGGATTGATCTTTTTCATTGGAAGTATCAGGACGTACATCCAAAATTAAACAAAAAGTCATAACAATGTTATTTATTAATCAAATATTCACACTAATGACAAATCTGTCTGTCATTTCATCAATAATATGATCGAGGTGGCACATTTTGTCTTCCTCTTTTATAGTGTTAGACACACAGTCACTCCACTTAACCGGTGTCACTTTGTTGATTCCTTCTTGGAATAAAGTATTCACTTCTTGCATTTTATATGTTTTATTAATGTTTCCGACGTGCCCCTTTACCTGAGCCCAAACCAACTCGATGGGGTTCAATTCACAGTGATGAGGGGGCAGTTTTAAAAGTCTGATACCTTTTTATGCAGCAATCTCGTCCACGGCATATTTCTCAGTATGATTTTGTTGTTTCACAATATCTATGAGAGTGGCCTTCACTATATTTGGTTCAAATGTAATATTTTTAGTGGTCAGCCACTCTTGAATCTAATTGATTAAAATTCCACATGGGGTGGGAGAAAACATATTATACCTAACGTATAATAAAAAGATTAGTGATGACACGTAAACTAACCTTTGCGATGGTGGGTACTTCATTTCTATGAAAGAACTGATGTACAATTCGTCTAATACCGGTGAATGTGAAATCAACAAGTTTTTCTTTAAATGTAAGTTTTGGGCCTGGTTTTTCGGGAGGTTTTGGTGATTTACAGTCGTTCTCCTTGTGCTCCTTTAAAACAAAATAAACAGTGCGGACGGATATTCCTAAGACTTCAGCCACCTTGTTGTCGCATTCACTTGTTTTTGGAACTTCAATATTTGATTCTGTAGATTTCACTTCAAACACATATTTGTAAACGTTTCTGACCCAAAGTTTCTCGGTTGCATTAAGAGCTACACGTGGCCTTTTTTTCTTAGGAGATAGAAATGTATCTCCATCTTGTGATCAACTGAGCATCCATGTCTTCGATGTAACAAACAAAAAAAAGCTGACACGATTAAGAAAAAGTAGGTAACGAAAAACAAACATAACGTAACAAAATTTTAACAATAATGACAACTAAAACAACTCGCAGTGGGCAAAGCAAAGTTATTCGTGCACTCAAAACAGAAGTTAGAAGCCGAATGAGCGAATGACAAATTAAATAAAATGACGGACAAGCCTCATCGTAGCACCGTAACTAAAAACTAGTACCAACTTGAGATTTTATACAGCCTTTTATTTATATGAATAATAAATAGAATTAAGTATGATCATTATGAGTTAGTTATGGAACGATTAGATTTTCTGTGAACCTAATCACATCCCTATTTAAATTAGGCGGTCAACATTATTTTACGGAATGACATTTTGAAACGTCATTTTACTGCAGCTAATAAAAAGTCGAAGTATAGTTTGACAAAGTATTTTGTTTTGTATAGTATTAAAGTTTAGCTGTATGAATTTGGAGTCATGTTTTAGCGGCCTTTGTTACAGTAATGCTTTCATATCATTTCTAAATCTATCGTATTATATATATTGTATTGAGTATTTAGACGGAAGTGTTTTCGCCGTGCTTAGATTTCAACGCCACGCACCGATAAAGTATTCGGTTAAGAATTGTGCAAATGACAGCAGCTTTACACTTCAGGGATAGTGTCGTGTTTTAGATACGTGTTCATATAAAATTACAAAATTACTCAGCTATCGATGTTTTCTATCATATTGATAACAATTAATTATATTTGAATAGGTATAAAAAGTATTTCGTTTTGTGCCCGTATCACTTTCACACAGTAATTAAAGGCATTCTCTATCGTGTGTCATTGACATTGAAAATACTACCACGATGTATGTGTTCATTTGAATAAGTTTGTCATTGTTATCTGTATAAATTGAGATATCTCGTCCTACGTGCGTGTGACTCTTTCACACAGTAATCAAAGTCACTCCTCTCTCTCGTATGCAATTGACATTGAAAATACTAGCACAATATATCGTGTTAATTTGAAAAAGTTTGTGACTGTGATCTGTTAAACTTGATATATTTAAGTTACTGTTAACCTGTGTGCGGTGCGTGTAACTCTTTTACACAGTAATGAAAGTCACCCTCTCTCGTAAGCTAGTAGATTGAAAATACTGCCACGACATATGGTGTTATTTAAAAGAAGTTTGTTACTGTTGTATGTTTAATATTACGTATTTAAGTTACTGTTATCCTGTGTGCGGTGCGTGTAACTCTTCTACACAGTAATGAAAGTCAATGCTCTCTCACGTATACAATTGACATTGACAATACTGTCACGACATAGCGTGTTGATTTAAATTTGTTATAGTAATCTGTTTTATTTGATGCAAGTTACTGTTATCTTTTCAATTTAAAAATGTCTCGTCCTAATCGCATTGAAATTTAAAAGCATGTTTGAGAAAAATACCTTTTCATTGGCCATGCTGCTAGAATTTATATTTAGAAAGAAACCTGTATGTAACGGTATTTGGTTTCTAAATAAATAAAAAACAAATTTTCCATACCATCAAGCCCTGGCGGTGGCCTGTCCAGTAGATGGGGTCGTTCCGTTCTCATCTCTTCTCCTCTCGTATCCTCTTTGTCCCCATAATCTTCTCTTGGCTTCTCTTCTTGCCTCGATGCCGGTTTACCGTTCGCCATTTCCCATAGACGTTCTTGTAAAGACTTTTCTTGAGGCTGTTCTGTATTTCTGTGAGGGGATTTTTCTTTGCTGCTGGGTTCCCTAAGAAGAACATATACCTTATTGTTTCAGACTAAAAGAACGTGACGAAGTTTGAATTAAAATAAGATATTAAAAAATATGTGTAATGGAAGTATGCAATTATGATGACTTTAGAGAGAGACAGAAACAACCAATACACAAACGTACGATGGACCACCCTATCATCATCATCATCAGCCTCTTAATGTCCCCACCGCTGGGGCACAGGCCTTCCCTATGGATGGAACAGGGAGTTTGGGCCATAAACCACCACGCGGGCCCAGTGCGGATTGGTGGGTGCTAACGACTGCAATTGCAGCCGGGACCAGCGACTTAACGTGCCTTCCGAAGCACGGAGGAGCTCGAGATAGTAAATTTTTGGTCACCCATCCAATGACCGACTAATGCGAAAGTTGCTTAACTTCAACGATTGCAGCCGAACGCGCTATCCACTTGCGCCATCGAGCTCCTCACGGATGGACCATCCAATTGCTTCATTTATTACAATTTAATTTTACAGTTTTACTTGATAGACGGTTAGGGAACGCGCAATTAATACTCTGTAGGTGTTTGATAGCTTAGCGTCTTCTTTGTGTGGATTTCTCAGTAAAAATTCGGATATTCAGATTGTAAAATATTATTCATAGTAAAATACAGATATTATTGAAATTACGTGCGTACTGTCTTTTTTGAATTCGAATTGCAAGAGGTATTTAGTGTTTATCTATATAAATCAAAATATTCATAGTAAAATACAGATATTCTTGAAATTATGTGCGTACGTTGTCTTTTTTGAATTCGAATTGCAAGAGGGATAGTGAATCTATATAAACAAAATGTGAGTTAATGTAGTAACGAATGGGTACGAAATGAATGTATGAACGGACGATGATGATGGACCGATTGTAGATTCTCTCGCCGAAGGATAGATGGCGTTAATAGTAGGTGATTACGAAAAGCAACCTGTAAATAAAAACTGAATCGTTTGTTACCTGTTATTGTCCCTGGATGAGAACCGATCTCTGTCCCGGTCGCGATCCCGGTCCCGCCTGTCCCGGCCTCGGTCGCGATCCCGGTCCCTGCACATACTCTCGCATTTATTTAGAGTACGACTTTACGAAGCATAGCATTACAGCTGCATAGCCACACACACACACACTTCATAAAATTATAATGTGACATTTCCTCAAAACCCTTTTATGTAATACTAGCTGACCCAGCGAACTTCGCACCGCCATAAAAATAGGGGCAGGTGGTAGAAGAGAAAATTTAGGGTTGTATGTATTTTTTAATACCACAATATAAAAATATTAATATTGTCGAAAAAAATTTAGGGGTGTGTAACGTAGTGTTCTATCATTTCCTGGGATAACATTCCTCCTAACCCATATGAGAACACTACTTTACAATACCCAATAGTTTGAATTTTGGCACGAAGGCGCATTGTAGGTTTCAGAACACTACGTGACAGGTGGACAACCATTATCACTTAAGGATATGAAATATAGATAGTAGCCGATTCTCAGACCCACAGAATATGCATATAAAATTTCATAAAAATCGGTCAGGCCGCTTCGGAGGAGTATGGTAACATTGTGACACGAGAATTTTATATATAAGATTTCCAACACTCACACCAATTAGCCTAGCAACAAAGTAAGCACTATAAGTCTTGTGTTATGTGATACTAGGGTAACGGATAGAATACATATACTATACATAGATAAGTATATTTATATAGAATTACATATTAAACATCCATACGACTGGGAGTACAAATGCTCATATTCATCACACAATAATCTGCCCCCACCAGGATTCGAACCCGGGACCTCTCGAGTCGGCGACACCATGAAACCCGGCGTAAAAACCACTCGGCCACGGAGGTCGTCAAGTCATCAAGAATAAACACTAAATACCCACCTCCGTGGCCGAGTGGTATGTACGCTGGGTTTCATGGTGTCGCCGACTCGAGAGGTCCCGGGTTCGAATCCCAGTGGGGGCAGATGTTTGTGTGATGAATACGAGCATTTGTTCTCCAGTCATGGATGTTTAATAAGTATTTCTATATAAATATACTAATATATGTACAGTATATGAATTCTATCCGTTACCCTTGCAACCTTTGACCAATAACATTTGACATTTCGGAGACCTCACGCTACACTAGCGCCTCTAGCGGCGGATTCATACGCGATAGCCCTCATTGGTGTGAGTGTTGGAAATATTTATATATTATTATTTATTATTCTTCATTTTTTTGTCATTTCTTATGTCTTATGCAATCTTAATTTAATTTTATGTTAGTTAATTATATGATGGGCATACTATTTTTAAAATTAAATGTGATATTGATATATAGTAACGCCGTTTGTATCTAATGTGTACATAATAAGTTTCTGCAATTGGCCTTAAGATGGTATTTAAATTTTATTGTACTACATCCACAAAAATCGATGTAGTCGAATGTCGAAATTATATCCTGAAGTCTTTTGACGTCCCCAATAATGAGGAAAAGGCCTCCTCTACTAACTGAATTGTGAAAATGGATTCTGACCACAGACATAGGAAGCAAATGTACAACCAAATGGTTTAATTTGGGATTCATTACATTAAATTTGGTTTGAGCATTCACATTGTGCTATAAGGTCGAAATCTCCAAACAACTAAAGGCGAAACGTGAAGTTAAAATCTTTTGGAATTCATTGCCATTTGTGAATTTGGACTACTTATCTAAGCGTAAAATTTCGTTTAAAAAAAACAGTATGATCATTATGTCAGTGAAATCATATCGTCAAGGAAATCATATTGTCAATCTAAGAAAATATAATCAAATTCCATTTACACTATGAAATCCTTACAAATATTTCCACAAATTAATTAATTTTTACTTAATTCTTTTTATGCTATGTGGAAATGTGCGCCATTTTCTTATTAGAAAAGGTTTGCTTCTTTACTTAAATTAGGTAGGCTTCTTGCAAATGTGTTTAAAACATTGTATGACATTCGTGCGAAATTGGTATTTACAAACTCATGAATATGGTAACATTCGTCTCATCATCATTAGCCTATTAATGTCCCCACTGCTGGGGCATAGGCCTTCCCTATTGATGGAAGAGATTGGGCCATGACCCACCAAGTGGGCATTTTAATGGTCGGAGTTGACTATGTTCTTGATTTCTTTTATTTGTATATTATGTACAAGACCTAGCCCAAGTCCCATGCAAATTTGAAACATCTCCTATAGTACAATATTATTATCATCCGTTGTTTGATGTTTTAATGGTGGCAATAAGCTAAGTGTTTCAGAATCTTTTATAGAGGTTTCAGAATCTTTTAAAGCATGGGTGTCAATCTAATATGTAAAATTCTCGTGTCACGGTGTGCGTAATTGAACTACTCCGAAACGGTTCGACTGATTCTCGTAAAATTTTATATGCATATTTAGTAGGTCTGAGAATCGGACCCTTAACATTTTTTTTGAACAAAATTTTTTGTTTTAATTTTTATGGTACATCATACAAACATACATACAACACTAAATTTTCACCCTTCTACCACCAACCCCTATTTTTTTATGGCGGTACGAAGTTCGCTGGGGCAGCTAGTAAAAAATAAAAATTAAACACTCACCTATCCCGATCGCCCCTGTCGCCTCTGCCTCTGTCTCCCCTGTCTGCTCTATCTCCCCTATCTCTTGCATCTCTCCCATCCCTCCTGTCCCTGTTGTCCCTATCCCTTCCATCCCTCCTTTCCCTGTCCCTGCCATCTCTCCTATCCCTATCTCGATCTCTATCCCTGTCCCTCCTATCTCTGTCGCGATCCTTCCTGTCCTCTTCGTGTTTGTTGTTGATATCATCTGGCGGCGGTTGGGACGCGTTGAAAGGCGGCGGTTCTGACGCGTTGAATCCGGGCGGTGGTTCCGATGCGTTGAAGGTTGGTGGCGGTTTAGATAGGAGTGCTTGGAGCTAAGGGCAATACAAAAACAATCAAGTGATGTTTTTATTTTATAAGCATTTAACTGCTAGATATTTAAATCTAAAGAAAAGTTTACTAGAAAAAAATTCCACGCGGACAAGGCAGCAGACGGGACTCGAACCCGCACCCTTCGCTATCCGGGCGAATGCACTGACCATTATGATACCGCGGCCCTGACCTACAATACGAAGAGATGGCGCTGCATAGCAGCCTAAGGCTAGAGAAAAATTCGACACGGCCGTCAGGGCCGCGGTAATCAATTATTTGTTCAAATCATCATCAGCCTATTAATATCCCCACTGATGGGGCACAGGCCTTCCCTATGGATGGAATAGGGAGATTGGGTCATGACCCACCACGCGGGCCCAATGCCGATTGGCGGGTGCTAACGACTGATACAGGCGGGACCAACGGCTTAACGTGCCTTCCGAAGCACGGAGGAACTCGAGATAGAAGATTTTTGGTCACCGATCCAATGACCGACCACTGCGAAAGTTGCTTAACTTCAACGATCGCAGCCGAACGCGCTAACCACCCGCGCCATCGAGCTCCTCGGTTTGTTCAAATTTGAGTATATAATTAGGTGTTCAGTGTAGTAACTTTATATATATATTCGGAACAGTCATGGATACAATCATACATACATATTTATTTCATTTAATTTATTTGTTCATGATATGAGTATATAATTTGGTGTATGTATTTTTAAAGTTTACTTATATCGATTTATAAGATTTCAAAAATCTGTTATAGATTTGTAGTTAAATAATTATAATGACCATTCATACTTTTCTATTATTTAAAATAACAGCTGTATGTTGTCAAAATAGATGAAAAATTAATCACCGTTCCTTCTATTCAATATTCTATCCAATATTGAATCGCAACGATATTAAATACCCTAGATACATCAAGTGCACTCAAAATGTGTCCTAATCAAGAAGTGCTTGAACTCCACTTAAGCACTTCTTGGTTCACAATCACGCGCAAGATGCCGCAGAGCTCCGTGAAAAAAAGCAAAAAAATTACTTATCGATTATGTCGTTTTTACGACAGGTATCTAATCAACGTTTTGAAGTATTTTATTTTCTAATGCTATAAACTGATTTAATAAAAAATATTTGTAATATTCAAGTACACGGTCGGTTATATATAGTTGTCTGTTTTTCTCGCAGTCAGTACCTGCTATAATGCTAACAGCGCATTTAGCAATAAGTCGTAAAATTTTATGAGCTTGAATTTCGAACTGTCATGACTCTGACGCATGCGTTTTAATTGACACCTTATACAGTATACATTAGATTTTCAATGTTTTCAGTGCCTTATATTGTTTTTAGCTATGCGATGATTTTACGGAGCTCCGTGGATCGCACAATGTACCCTTTGGACAGATTTCGGCCACGATTTTGTTCGTGTTGTTGTATCTAGGTTATTTAATGGTGTCGATTTTGGCATGATTCTCTAAACCTAAACTTAAATTTGACAACAGTGTATCCTTGTCATTCTCTATGAAGAAAGAATAGGACAGACCGATGTAAAATTTACTTTTAAGTTTAGAGAATCATGCCAGAATCGACATCAATATCGTTGTTGGATCGGCTTAATTATTACCAACTAAAAGCAATATGATACGAATGTTCAAATAACACCAATTAGCGATACGATTTAATTATCAAAAGCCACGGCGCTATAATCCAGGATTCAAATTATGAGAAAAAAGTTGGTAGCAACCTTAAAAGCAGTTAACTATAGCAAATTAAGTAACTTCCGCGTTCCAAATCATTTTAATTACCTGGTCCGGCAGTGAAGGTGAGTTGGTAGATGGCTCGTGGATATCTTCAGTGTCGAGGTCCATTGCATCGTCACTGGGCGGCTCTGTTCGTTGTTGCTGTTGTTGTTGTAATTGTTGCTGTTGTTGTTGGTGCTGTTGTTGTTGCTGGATAGGAGAAAACACAAAATCTACATTTAGGAGATGACTTTTTCGTCTATTATGGTATTAAGCGGATTAAATAAAGAAGTTTTCATTATAATTTTTATTATTTTAAAGCATGTTAATGCTTTATGTTTAAATCTAAAGAAAATATAACTAGAAAAAATTCCACGCGGACTAGGCAGCATACGGGACTCAATCCCGCACCCTTCGCAATCTGGGCGTATGCACTGACCAATTATGCTACCGCGGCCCTCACGGAACGCGTCGAAATTCTTCTAGGCATTCTTAAGCTGCAAGGCAGCGCCATCTCTTCGCATTATAGGTAAACCACAATATCTAATGTATACCTTGCAGCTTAAGAATGGCTAGAAGAATTTCGACGCTTTCCGTGAGGGCCGCGGTAGCATAATTGATCAGTGCATTCACCCGGATTGCGAAGGGTGCGGGTTCGAGTCGCGTCTGCTGGCTGGTCCGCGTGGAATTTTTTCAAGTTTTCATTAATGTTTTTTTTAACATTCTTGCATCAAATTGGAGGGTCCGTTGTGGAGACATTGGGTACAATTTCATGTCTCCACACATATTAAATATAGAAAATAGTTTTAACGTGATAATAGGGATGATGACTAATTTTTTTTTCTTCGTTTATCAGGTAGATTATCAAAAAGTATTGGACACGTATTTTTTCTTTTTTCACATAATATATACATTGCAGAGATATATTGATTTGAAAAGTCGCATGACGTCACATTTGAGTTCATTTATAAGTTAAAATTTACTCAAAAGTGACGTCACGAGCCCCTACTCCCAAACTTTGACGCGCTATAACTTTGTAATTTTTTGGTTGATTGCCCAAAGAAAAAATACGTGTCCATTATTTTTTGATCATCTAACTGACGGACCAAATAGAATTTCGTTTACTGTACCCCGTCATCATCCCTATTATGATACCATTGATATATATTTACCTGTATATTAGGCGGCGGCGTGGATATAGCGGCCGGCAGCTGCATGGGCAGCCCGCCCACCAGCCCGCCCACGCCCACGCCCACGCCCAGCAGCCCGCCCAGGAACCCGCCCACCATGCCTAAGGGATAACAGACCATTCATATTTCTCACAGTATTTGACAAGTTTCAGTCTCGTATTACAGAATAAAACAATTGTGTGTGTCAGCTCCGACGCACGACTGGAGTTTACATATAATTATTTTTTTATTTAAAATATAATATTATCTTAATGATTAAAAAAAATGGTTATAAAAAGATAATTATGTCACTAAATCTTGTACGTACAATAATAAATAGTACATGAAAATAAGACACATGGACATTCGTAGATACGTAGTTCACGAATCTTGAAAATACCACATCAATGGTTGTACCATACCTCGTTGTCCCCATTGCTCTATCAGAAACAATATCTAAATTCAGTTCAGATTTAAAAAAAAATATTAATGTCAATCCGTCATCTTTGTTTGTCAAAGTTGCGCGACATAGGATGCGCACCAAAAACGTAACGAGGTCATTCATCTATAGATTTTACTCCTCACATTTTTCTCATACCGGGCCCCTTATATATGCAAATCGATGCTTAAGGAGTGAAATCCAATAAATAAATCATTAATATTTCCAACACTCACACCAATTAGCCAAGCCCCAAAGTAAGCACTAAGGCGTTATGTGTAATGGGAAACTAGGGTAACGGATAGAATACATTTAATGTACATATATGTCGGCAGATGGCGTCTCACTCGCTCCTTCGAAACGTTAAACTGACAACAAATGTCATGCATCAGTCAGTGTACCATTGCCATGTGAAACGTCAAGTAATGACAGTGCAGCTGTCATCACTTCGGAGGGTCTATGCTAAGAATAGTATTTAAGGGGCTATGCTTCACTGGAAGGGGCACACCACGAAAACGGCTAACTAGAGCCTAGGTCCGAGTCTCAGAGACTCCCTCTAGTTGAGCCGACCCCCTCAGGTTCAAATGGTCTAGAGGCTCAAGACGGAGAGGAGACTCCCCCCGTGTAGAGACTCCATCCTCCTGGAATACCTCTAGAGGCACTCGCCAATTCTCGGCTTGAGGTCCCCTTAGGATCTCGCCGTCCCCAAACCCGGTGACACTGTAAAGGTCATCTGGTCATTGTCAACAGCATACACACTCAAAAAATAATATGGAAGCCGCATTCAGACGTGAGCCGTGATAGTGAACGGGCGTTAGCACAGAACTCTTCACGCTTCGCAAAGCAATCTACGCTTCACGCTTCACAAAGCAATCCGTTTGTACCTTTGCAATCATTGTTGCCCCCCTAGCATGACTAACAAAACGCGATATGATAAAGCGATTTATCGACATTGTCTGTCAAACTACAATGGAGTTTGACAGTTGAGTGTCGATAAATCGCTTTATCATATCGCGTTTTGTTAGTCATGCTAGGGGGGCTGATTTTGTAAAGTGATTAGAAGATTCAAATTAAACGTTAGCTTGGTCACTAGACTACAGTTTTATTTTCGGGAAATATCATTGAATAACCAAGATGGCGGATCAAAACGAACCACGTGGACAACCGCCTATCCCGCTCGCCCATCCGACATATATAAGTATATTTATATAGAAATACATATTAAACATCTATGACTGGAGTACAAATTCTCGTATTCATCACACAAACATCTGCCCCCACCGGGATTCGAACACGGCACCTCTCGAGTCGGCGATACCATGAAACCTGGTCTACAAACCACTCGACCACGGATGTCGTCAATGTGTCGTCAAGAATGGCAATTAAGTGTTGATCTTTACTTGAGTACAGTTAGAAAGGGATGTCGCTTTGTATAGCACATAGCGACATCCTTTTCTAACTGTACTCAAGTAAAGATCAACACTTAACTGTAATTCTGTAATACGAGCCTTAGAAAACGATCTCAGGCTATTGACTAATGTTTATGGATTCCATAAAAAGTGGATATTATTAATTCTGCTGTGTAATTCAGTAGGTAAAAAAAACTAAATTGAAAACTCAATTTGTATGTAGCCACGACAACGTTTCTCTAAACATTATTGCGACTCATTAGTGTGTGACTTCACACGATTGACATTTAAACGTCAAACGATACAATGTAATGTCACTTTGGCCGGAAGTATACCAGCGCGTGTCATCATTGTAGTCTTGGCCAATCCCATGCGTTTTCAGTCACGTGACCATGGAGCAAAAAATAATTTCTATTTTGATTTTATAGAAAGTTATTAAAAATCGCTGCTAATAATAATTTTAAATACAAATTCCAACAGTTGGTACATTATTTTTCATACTGTCAAATAGCCTATTATTTACATTCAAGTAATAACATGCATTCCCATACTCTTTTGCTGTAACAATCCGTAAGAGACACGAAACCACATACATTCATACTTACCTACAAATAAATTCCTTCTTATTTCATTGATTTTCTAATTCAAACATAATAATAATAAATTTAGAGGAGCTCGATGCCGCAGGTGGTTAGCGCATTCGATCTGCGGTCGCGAAAATAAAGCAACTTTCGCAATGCTCAATCATTGGATGGGTGACCAAAAACTTATTATCTCGAGCTCCTCCGTGATTTGGAAGGTACGTTAAGGCGTTGGTCCCGGCTGCATCTACAGTCGTTAGCACCCACCAATCCGCACTGGGCCACGGCCCAGTCTCCCTATTCCATACATAGGGAAGGCCTGTGTCTCTGCAGTGGGACATTATAATAATAATTTATTTCAGATAAACATCCATATAATTATTAGTACAAGTTAGTAGCAATCTCGGGATTGTCCTATGTCAATAGTATTAGCCATATTGATTATACATATTCACAATTATCATATATTCTACATGCCAATAGGGTATTTGAAAAGTTTTAGAAAACGATCTCACGTTATTGACTAATGTTTAAGGAGTCCGTAAAAAGTGGATATTCATCATTCTATTGCGTATTTCAGTAAAAATAATCAAATCAAAAACTCCATTTTCAAGTTGCTGTGAAAACGTTTTTCTGGACAATATGGCGTCTTACTAGTGTGGCTTACGTCACACGACTGGTATTAAAATGTCAAACGATACAATGTAATGTTACTTTAACCGGAAGTTTACTTGCGTGTGACGTCATTTTAGGCTCCGCCAATCCCAAGCGTTTTGGGTCACGTGACAATAGATAAGAAAACTATTAACTTTTTCGTGGGTTTTTAGTAAAATTATGAATATTTTTGCTGTAAAAATAGTAACAACCCCTGCCAATATTCATTCTAAACACGGATGCTAACAATTGGCACTTTATTTTTAATCCTGTCAAATACCTTATTCTATTCAATCAACAAGTTATAGGCCGATGATGAATAATAAAGTTGAATATGACTCACCAGGTTGCGGCATCGACTGCGGCGGCATACCAGGAGGAAACCGAAGCATCGGAGCACCGGGAGGCATTCCTGTGTCACCTTGTAATCCTGGAATAAAAAGTTCCATTAGCGTCCTCTGTCAGGTAAATTTTACATGCAAATCTAATGGTAAGTACTTTTTTTAAACACTACGCTAGAAAAAAATCCCTAGAAGTATATCCTTCTTATGCTCTATAGGGAAAGAAAAGGAGAGAAAAGGGGGTTTTCATTGAAAGAAAGAAAGAAAGAAAATATTTATTTGAAACAACATGTGTAAGTAAGATGTTACGATTTTAGGGGTGCATAACATGTCGTGCCAATATGGGCATACAAATTCATCAACTTATTTAAATTCCAAGTCAAAAATCTTAATATTCAATAATAAAACATGTCAAATTCAAATGATTGGCATCAATTACAGTTTTAAGTTTATACAATTTTTTTTTTTCATTTAACTGCTAGATCTTTAAATCTAAAGAAAATTTTGTTGGAAAAAATTCCACGTGGACCTGGCAGCAGACGAGACTCGAACCCGCACTCTTCGCTATTCGGGCGAATGCACTGGCCATTATGCTACCGCGGCCCTGATGGGCGTGTCGAATTTTCTCTAACCTTTCTTAGGCTGCAAGGCAGCTCTGTCTCTTTGCATTATAGGTAACCCACAATGCCAAATACCTTTACAAGTATTAAACATTTGAAAGAAGAAATAGCAATTATAGTTATAATTTCGAGTCCCGTCGGCTGCCTGGTCCGCGTGGAATGTTTTCTAGTAATATTTTCTTTGCATTTAAATATCAAGCAGTTACGTGCTTAAAAAAGAAAAATTATAACTTAGATTGTCACAATCGACACCAACAGGCAAGAAATTTGTAAAAAAAATCCTATTGTTTATCGTAGTTCAAATTAACAGGAGGTGGGATAATCTATACTCAACTAGTACAAGCAAAACAGTTTTGAAACAAATCAAGCGATGACTTTGTTGATGGTACAAATATTGAAGTGGGAGAAGTTTCACTGTTGTATCATTTTTTAAGGGAAATAAATAAAGAAATAAATTTATTTCTGACGCAAAAACCTTACCTGGTACGCCTGTAGGTAAGCTGGGAGGCCTGATTCCAGCTGGTAGTCCGGGAGGTAGCCCAGGTGGTAGTCCGGTTGGCATTCTATAATAAAAATTGCCACTTGATGAGTAAAATGTGAGGAGCTCGATGGCGCAGGTGGTTAGCGCGTTCGGCTGCGATCGTTGAAGTTAAGCAACTTTCGCAATGGTCGGTAATTGGATGGGTGACCGAAAATCTTCTATCTAGAGTTCCTCCATGCTTCGGAAGGCACGTTAAGCCCTTGGTCCCGGCTGCATCTGCAGTCGTTAACACCCGCCACTCCGCACTGGGCCCGCGTGGTGGGTCATGGCCCAATCTCCCTATTCCATCCATAGGAAAGGCCTGTGCGCCAGTAGAGGGGACATTAATAAGCTGATGATGATGCTGATGAGTAAAATGTATACCGTCACCTTTGACCATGACGGAGACAGCATCAGGTTTTCACAGAGTCTAATTTTATTCCAAGTCTCGTAATAAGTCCAGTAATTATAAATAAGACATCCTCTTTAAATTGCGATACCCTACAGTGTCCATTATGTACTTATCTGTTAGAAATTACCTTTGAATCTCTATTATGGTATCCAATAAATTTTGAATAGAAATAAAAGGGGGCTATAAGGCTATCTGATGGGTCACCAAAAACTTTACTACTTTGGACATTAAGAGCCCTTTTACAAAATTGCACCGCTGCCGTACTAATCGGCGCGTAGGTAGATTTGTACTAGTATATATTGCATTTTACGGGTGATGTTTAGAGTCTTATAAAATAATTATTAATGAACAAATTATAAAAATATATAAATATTTCAGTAGTTCAATGATAGTAGATTAGTTTTATGAAAGTTTTTGATAGTAATTCTATTTAATTTAATATCAAAATACGAGGTAAACCTGCATTATTTTTTGGGAAAACTCACGGAGGTTAGATAATTAATATGCTAGAAAATCAAAATTCTAATACATTATGTTACAACAAAAACATATTTCTGATATCGTAGTAATTAATTTGATCTAATTTATTGAACACTATTGAGAGATTCAGGCGTTTGAAGTTGTGCATATTATCATTTTTTCTGTAAACTAGCTGCAGTAGAACGATCAGTACAAAAAAAAGGAAAATAGTATTTGCAAATATTCTACATTTACTTACAATAGGAAGAATAATTCTACTGTTAACATCTATTGGAAATAGTCAAAATCTTTTCCAAGGGGGTAAATAAGGCGCTCAAAAATTACGATTTTTTTGCAAAAAATGTGAAAGGGCTCTTAATAGACCGATGATGATGAAATAAAGTCTCACCCAGGCGGCATCCGGGGCACGGGCAGGGCGTGTGCGAGGTGAGAGGCGGGAGGCAGCCCCACGCCCACGCCCACGCCCGCGCCCAGCGGCATCATGCCCGGCCCCACGCCCACGCCCACTCCAAGCATCGACATGTTGTCCATCATCGCCTTGGGCAGGATCTGTTAGGGACAACGGTCACCATTTATAGCAGTATACACCACGAGCGCTCAAAATGTGTCCCTATCAAGAAGTGCTTGAACACCACTCAAGCACTTCATGGTTCACAGTCACGCGCGGATTGCTGAGAAGTCAACATGCCGCCGAGCTCCGTAAAAAAATGCGAAATGAATACTTATAGTATGTAAAATATCGTTTTTTCGACAGGTATTTAAGCAATGTTTGTTAATTTAACGCATTTGAAGCAATTTTGTTTTAATACTTAATATAAACTGATTTAATAGAAAATATTTGTGTGCACACAAGTGCATGGTCGGTGATATAGCCGTCCCTTTTCCTCGCGGTCCGTACCTGCTATATTGCTAAAAGCGCATTCAGAATTGTGCGTAGAATCAAAGAAATAAGGTCTATTTTCTTCCGCATAGAGCAATAAGTCGTAAAATTATACGACGTTACATCTTGAACTAGCATAACTCTTCGCCGCATGCGGTTTAATTAAGACCTTATGCCGTGTGCTTTAAATGTGATTTTCGATGTTTAAATAATGCCTGATATTGTTTAGACTACGCGATCTTCTTACGGAGCTCCGTGGATCGTCCAATGTACCTTTTGGACAGGTTTTGGGGCATGATTTTGTTCGTGTTGGTGTATCTAGGGTATTTAATATCGTTGACAGTAGTTCTATTTATAACAAAGCCATTTGAAAAATATGACATGAGAAAGAACGCTGAATGATTAGCAAAAGGGGGGCGGGTGCCAATCGTAAGGTGGTCTGTTGCAAGACAGAAAATGAAACAAATGGTCCCTCGCCACTAACCCCCTTATTAGTAAACAAAGTCTAGGCTTGGATTAGTTGTTCCATGTTTTGTCATGGCACTTGAGTGATATGAAAAAAAACAGCGTAACTAGTCTAAGCTTATTCCTTGTTTATTAATAAGAGGGTTAAAGATATGGAACCACTGATTTATAGGATAGCTCTATGTAAAACTTCCTCTGAGACAAAAGGTAAACAAACCATAAGAGGTTTTATCAATAAGTCAAATTTTATACACATAAAATCATAATTTGAATAAGTGGCACTATTAAGACCTTACTGTTCCCTTAAAACCGGAGCTATTCCCAAACTTTGAAAGCATTATAATACTACTTAATTGAAGAGTATTGAAAAAGCAAATAATTTACGTTGAAATATGAAATTTTATTAAGTATTTTTTTCGCATTCCTTTAAGGAGCTCTTCGGCATCTTGACTTTTGAACGGTCCGCGCGTGACTGTGAACCAAGAAGTTCTTGAGTGGTGCTCAAGCACTTCTTCATTGGGACACATTTTGAGCGCACGTGGTGTATCTAGGGTATTTAATATCGCTGCCTGTAGGCGGTAAAATCTTGTCAAAACCTAGTAGTAAGTAGTCATTACTTACCCTCGGCGGCAACCATGGCGGCAGAGTATCTTCGTCGACGCAACCACCGTCTTCTAAAGCGTCCAGCGACAACGCGTTGAGGGCCCAGCGCGCTTGTAACGCGGACCAGGGCAGGTAGGAGACCCCCAACTCTGCTTCCCAGTAGTCCTTCCATTCGCGACCTTTGACGCCTCTACCGGGGGCCCACGCCACCTATTACCATGGAATAGAAATCTTTATTGAAAAAAACGAGCGAGCCTTATACCTTGTTTACATGCAGCGCGAGTAAGGAGGGAAGTGGGCTTGACGAGTATGTAAACAAGGTACTCGTCATGCCACTGCCATTGCCACTCGCGCTGTCCGGCGCTCCCCAAAAGAGCGGTTTTTTGTGCGGAAGTCAAAGGACCGGCAGCGCGAGTGGCAATGCGTGTTCACACTCTGCGCGTCGCTTAGTTCGCGCCACTTACAAAGTTCTATTACGATGGATAGATAACATCCACCATCTTCTACGAGTAGATGTTCCGAGAAGATGCTAGCTACGTAGCATCTTCTCGGAACATCTACCGCAGTGCCTCAAGACGAAAGTCTTCAATTCGTGCGTGTTGCCAGTGATGACATACGGAACCGAGACGTGGCCGCTTACAATGGGTCTTGTAAGAAGGCTCAAAGTCACCCAAAGGGCAATGGAGAGGGCTATGCTCGGAGTTTCTCTGCGTGATCGAATCAGAAATGAGGAGATACGCAAGAGAACTAAAGTCACCGACATAGCCCACAGAATTGCAAACCTTAAGTGGCAATGGGCAGGGCACATTGCTCGCAGGACCGATGGCCGTTGGGGCGGAAAGGTCCTCGATTGGCGACCGCGTACCGGGAAACGCAGTGTTGGCAGGCCCCCCACAAGGTGGACCGACGATCTGGTAAAGGTCGCGGGAAGCCGCTGGATGCGGGCAGCATGGGACCGATCGTTGTGGAAATCCATGGGGGAGGCCTATGTCCAACAGTGGACGTCTTTCGGCTGAAATGATGATGATGATGATCTTCTACGAAGAACTTTGTTTTTTTGTACTTGATATATTTATAAATTTCGAACATAATTATGGATTGCAAAAAGGCACAGCGCGGCCGCTGTAATTACTTCGACGTCTGCCATTGCCGAAACTCTGAAGCGAAGTGAGAGGTAGGGCAGTATGTAAACACATACTTCTCTCAATCATGCCGCAGCGATATTAAGGGAATTATTGCCGGCAACGCGAGGGGCAGCGGCATGGGCATAGTCTAAACGAGGTATTACAGTAGTCGCGTATGATGTGTAACATTTGAAACCTCACCTTATATATGTAAAAGAAGAAATAAAACCTACTACAAAAGGAATAAGCCATTTGGACAGTATGTTCTAAAATTCTAAATAGCTCGCGCTTCCCAAACTTCCTGTTACACACTTCTGTCCCACTTCACGTTATCACTCCCACAAATTGCACAAAAGCGGGAGGAAAGATGTTACACATCAAAACAGCAATATGACAATCAAAGGGAACCCTGACTCCTAAAAATATAGGATTAACCTGGGTATTAAAGCCAGATTTTTCCTAAAAATGACACATTTATATAGTAACTTGCTGACCCGGCGAACTTCGTCCTCCGCCATAAAAATAGGGGCAGGTGGTAGAAGAGAAAATTTAGGGTTGTATGTATTTTTGAAAAAATTTAAGGGGTGTGTAACGTAGTGTTCTATCAACTTCCTAGGGATAACATTCCTCCTAACCCATACGAGAACACTACTTTACAATACCCAATAGCTGGCGCGAAGGCGCATTGTAGGTTTCAAAACACTACGTTACAGGTGGACAACCATTATCACATAAGGATATGAAAAATAGATAGTAGCCGATTCTCAGACCCACGGTATATGCATATAAAATTTCATAAAGATCGGTCAGGCCGTTTCGGAGAGTATGGTAACTAACATTGTGAGACGAGAATTTTGTATATAAGATTTCTGGCGCGTACATTAGCATTAACAAATGTACAATATTTTAAAAATAAAAACTACAAATTAGCAAATTAACATGGTTAAAGTTAGTTATGGCTAAAGAGATGATATAAGTAAATAAAAGATCAAGTGTGATCTTCAACTGGTTAGAAAATCAAAACTGTTTCTGTACCTTAATTAAACGAACAATGAATAAGTGCATATTATTATAATACATTGAAATACGATTATTTTAAAAATAAAAATTCTTCAGTCAAATGTTTCTTTAATCAGTGGTTACAAATGTAGTTATTTAAAGCTGATGTAGTGCGACAAGGATCTTAATGTGGCGAAAATTAGAACTAACGCAGCGATCTTTATAAACGACATATTATATCATTTACGTAGACAGGTGTGTCAATTCTGGTAGACAGGTGTGTCATGACCCCCCCCCCCCCCTGGATCCGCCTTTGCCCCTACATCGCTACATGACGACAACACACGATAAAAAACAGCTCTTGCTGAGTTTCTTACCGGTTCTTCTTAGTACAAGGTTTCCAGCCGTAATTTTGCAAACCGATGGCGTAACATTTCGACATTCACTAGTGCTTGTAAACAGCCTAGACTGAATAAACAATTTTGATATTTTTTTAATACGGCCACTCACCATGATCTCCTTGGAGTGCAGTTTGTGCTTGTTGAGCTTGGTTAGAGCTTTGAGGGCGTCCCTTCTTCGTTCCATGACGACGAAGGCGCAGCCGCGGGGCGGCACTAGGTCGATGGCTACGACACCGCCTACGCCCCCGAATAAGTCGGATAATTCCTCTTGGGTAGCTAGCTTTGATAAGTGGCCAACCCATAAGGTGGTGCTGCACACTATAACAATAATAATAATTAAATAACATTGCTGTGTAGCGGTGGACTGTACTAAGTTAAAATTGGATTAATGTAGAGAAACGGCACGTAGCAGTACATAAATCACTAAATAGTATAAAGCAAAGTCGCTTCCCGTTGTCTGTCCCTATGTTCCTATGTATGCTTAGATCTTTAAAACTACGCAACGGATTTTGATGCGGTTTTTTTTAATAGATAGTGATTCAAGAGGAAGGTTTATATGTAAAATACATGCATAATATAGTAGAGAAACACTGATAATTTAAGAGGTTTTTAATGTAAGGTCCTAAATAAACACATTCTTTTGCGCTTACATTGCAAACGCTGGCTGAACTCTACGAGATAGATTAAAACAATGTAGTACAGTATTGTACACCTTAAAACCGTCTACAAAAAAGTCCGCGATGGTATATGTCTATCTCTTAGGGATAACCCACAATAACCATTTTTTATCCTACACTTTTTATAAACACAACAGCAAAAGTCTATCAACAAAGAATAATATCAAAAGGTGGAAATAAGAAGGTAATAATTTATAATGCCTGTTCATTCTTAACAGTTCATACCTTATCACAGAATACTACTCACTTTACACGGCGGTGTAAACTGAGTATGTAGTATTTAGTCATACTTAGGGAGCGTGCATGAGTTGTAAACAAGTACACATGTCATTGCACTATGTAATTTTCTGACATATCCGACATTCGATTATTATGATCTCTGGATACAAATGATCTGAGGCCCAAACGAGAGTTTTTGACAGCACCGTAACGTATCGCATCGTCAGTGTCTATGAAAACTAAAAAGCGTAAGAACTAACTAGCTTTTTCCATGCAAATATTGACAATAACGATACTTACGCAGCTGTCAAAAACTAGTGCTTGGGCCTCAGATGTCAGATTTTTTTCGTATCAGAACGTCGGCGTCGGATTGAGCCCTCCCTAAAGTGCTTCCTGGTCGATTCATTACCAACCATTTTCAATAATCATACTCCAGAAAGAGATGCATCTATTAATAGCTTTGTTGATTAAATATTTTTATTATTTAGATTTGATAACTATTGCTAAGAAATCAAAATAAGCTTACCTTTTACTGAAAGATGATCATAATTATTCAAATATGGTTTTTTTTGCGATTTAATGAGGACTACATACAACATATTAGGAATGCTATGTATGCACTGTCCTCCAACACGAGGGGGAGGAGATACGCACACAGATAAATCAAATATCTGTAGATTTATTAAGCTATTTATTCATTGGATAAGATAATGTTAAACCGAATCCCCAACCAATCCCATGATCGGCGTGTTGATCGCATTTTTTTCGCCCCACACCCTTGATCGCAATATGCGTGGAACCACTTTTTAGCGCAGTTCGCATATATAATTATTATTGCAACTTAATAATTTCTTATTCGTTGCCTACATTATTATTGCAACGACAATCAGAAAATAATAATAAACTCACCGCTGAGGTTTTCCTTTTTTATCGGCGGTAAGCCCTTCTTCTCTCGCTCTCTGTTCTTCTCCTTCTCCGCTTCTCTCTCTTTGCTGTACACTTGTTTGTCTCTATCCCGGTCCTTGTCTCTGTCCCTGTCACGATCTCTGTAATAAAAAATATTATTAGATCCTAGGAATCCTCCTAATATTGTAAATGTGATAATTTAGTAATTTTAAATGAAATTAAAATTGTTACTCAATCACGCAAAAACTTCTGAACACATTTGGATGAAATTTAGTACGAATATATTTTAAGACTTGGGTTGAAACATAGGATGCTGTTTATTCCAGTGAAATTTGAGATCTCTGTGGGATTCCCGAAAAACTAAAATTAACGCGAACGAAGTCGCTAGTATAAAATATATTGAATGTAAGTTTCAGTAAACGTTTGCATATTAAATTTCTTAATATTTTTTTGTTTTTTTTTTATTATTTTCTTAAGTTAGTTGGAATCGCAAAAGTGTCAAGTGGTAGTGTATCGTGGTCGTCTAGACTGCTGCTGCTAGCCTGAGTTAACTTCACAGTCACCATATTGTCAAGTGTATCATCATCATCAGCCTATTCATGTACTGCTGGAGCAGGCCTTCCCTATGGATGGAATCGGGAGATTGGGCCATGACCCACCACTCGGGCCCAGTGTGGATTGGCGGGTGCTAACCAATGGCTTAACGTGCCTTTCGAAGCACATTTTCGGTCACCCATCCAATGACCGACCACTGCGAAAGTTGCTTAACTTCAATGATCGCAGCCGAACGCCCTAACCTCTTGCGGCATCAAGCGCCTTCTAAGCTACTCGTCAACACCTCTTCAAGAGTATCTCTTATCTATTAGACAAGTCCGTCCGTCTGTGGTGCTGTTTCAGCGGCCAAACCGTAAGAGATAGATAAAGAGAATATTTAAGTTATAAGTTAAGAATAGTCTGATAAGACTATAAACTGGATTTGAGTAACGTAGCACTTCCGGTTTTCGAGAAATCAGGTTTTGGTGAACATTTGGTTCACTGGTTTGCTAGTATACATAGTAATAGTATAGGTATACCTGTCGCGGTTGCGGCGACGACGCGGCGAGCGGGAGCGGGAGCGAGAGCGGGAGCGGGAGCGGCGGCGGCGACGCGGCGATTTGGACCGCGAACGACGACGAGACTTCGGCGACGGGGACCTGGAACAAATACAAACCATTCACAAACTAAATCACTACATAGTATAAAGCAAAGTCGCTTCCCGCTGTCTGTCCCTGTGTATGCTTAGATCTTTTCTACCCAAAAAAAAATATATAGTAGAGAAACAATGATAATTTTAGAGGTTTTTAATGTAAGGTCGTAAATAAACACATTTTTTTGCGCTTACATTGCAAACGCTGTCTGAACCCTACGAGATAGATCAAAATAATGTACTACAGTATTGTACACCTTAAACGATCTACAAAAAAAGTCCGCAATGGTATATGTCTATCTCTTAGGGATAACCCATAATAACCGTTTTTTATCCTATACTTTTTACGAGACATAACAGATTATTTACGAAGCGATTTTCAGCAATATTACATTCACCCTTATCCAATTAAGTGCTTTAAATACATTGTGCATTTAATATAGACCAATTTGACTCTTTAAACCATGTAATTTAAATGAATATTTTCGAAGATATTACAGATTTTAAAATGCAGGGACATAGCCGTTCCGACGCTACCGGGTGGCGGGCCTGGCGGCGCGTGCCTATTGTAATTAGATATAAGAAGAATGTCATTGTGTATAATACAAGCCTGGGAACAAAAACTATGGTCTACACTTCAGCTCTACACTGAAGCGAAGCGAGGGCGGACCGCTAGTAAATAAATAAGTATTAAAATCTATAACAAAACCGTTAGGTGATTTGTACATTTACATGTTCCCCAATGTAGTACAATTTTCTTTTTAACACACCAATTAGCCTAGCCCCAAAGGAAGCACTTAGGCTAGTGTTATAGGATACAAGGGAACGGATAGAGTACATATATAAGTACATTTATATAGAAATACATATTAAACCTCTAAGAGTGGAGTACAAATGCTCGTATTCATCACACAAACATCTGCCCCCGACGGGATTCGAACCCGGAACCTCTAGAGTAGGCGACATCTTGAAACCCGGCGTATAAACCACTCGGCCACGGAGGTCGTCAAATAAATAAATTAATATAAAAATCCTTAAATAAAAAACAAATTAGTCCATCTTTACCGTTGAAACTTGATTTATTTAATGAGTAGTGTGCGTGAAAACCTAAGAAACATATATAAAAATCCCTAACAAAACCATTAGGTGATTTGTACATTTACATTATCCCTGATGTGGTACTAATTACAGAAAAAACTCTTTATTCTTTATGTCCGCAAAGGAGATTTATAAACTAGTCACTTTCCTCCAATTTGACTTATTTTTAACTAAACCACACACACATACTTAGAAATACCTCAGCCAGTTATTGGTTTGCCGGTTCTAAAACTGGTGAGCTTAACTAATGCATACTAAAGCATTGCTAACTACGGTATCTCTTATCTATTAGACAAGTCCGTCCGTCCGTCCGTGGTGCTGTTTCAGCGGCCAAACCGTAAGAGATAGATATAGAGAATGTTTAAGTTATAAGTTAAGAATAGTCTGATAAGACTACAAACCGGATGTGAGTAACGTAGCACTTCCGGTTTTCGAGAAATCACGTGATTTCTATTTCAAACGAAACCACACAAAATCTCCGAAGTTCTCAATTAATTAAATACATTTTTTTATTTTGGTGAACATTTGGTTCACTGGTTTGCTAGTTTCAATTATTCTTAGTCGTATTTGTTTCTTAGGTTTTCACGCACATCACTCATTAAATAAAACTAGTTTTAACGGGCTAATGCACGAACTTTATTTATTTATTGACGTTTCTTAGCCTGTTCAGGTCTGCATCATCAAAATAATGTTTTTTTATTTACTTTGTCGAACTACCTTCGAAAGACTTGAAGTCTTTCAAAGGCTAGAAATCGAAGAAGTTAAAACTAGTTTTATTTATTCTTAATCTTACTACTCTTCTCTATTTTTCACTTTGACACTTCTTCTATTGTTTCAGCTATGAGCTTTTTAATGTAAGTCACATGCAAAAACGTGTTAACGGTGTTAAGTTTTATATCATTGTCATTAGTTATAATTGTCGATAAAAGAAGCACTGTACGTTTTCCAAATAAAATAAATAAATAATATTACTCCAAAATATGGCAACATATCGATCATTGTCATGTACTCTGAAGCTGAGTCAGCCCTCAAGAACAACATCTTCTACACATAATTAATACTAAATGAAATTAGAAAGGAAAATATTTGAATGATCCTCAAAAAAATTGTTAATAATTACTTTTTTGCAATTTGTGGGAGGGATTTTGTGAAATCATTGCCGTGCGCAATTTGATTTGGTTTTAGAATATAAGGCTGGGCGCATATGTACGCTTTCCTGATTCGGTCTCCGATTCGAAGACCTGAATGTCCTTAACATACAAAACATTTTCCCTAAAATTATCCTATTTTTTTTATGGTAAAAAACAACACTTGGTTTCGACACTACCTAATAAAACAAAAAACCGAAACCTCTGCGAAAGGCTCACGGAATTCCTGATTAGGAAACCGTATATTATGCTGAGTGCCTTACTGAGATGTCGAATGTTACACATCATATGCCTACTGGAAGGCTCGCTCGTTTTTAATAGATGATTTAAATAGCTAATTATAAATCTACAGTTTAATTGGTAACCTAACATTAATACTCCTGTTGCACCGAATAGTGGGTCCTGTCGAATGTTCGATTTGAATATGTGCTGAAGCCGAATGTCAGCCGAAGTTCGCCCCAAAATTCGTTGCAATTCCGCGTACTTTTGTTCAATGAACTAAATGTTTTATTACAATAAAAAAATACTAAAACTCAAAGTATCTTTATCTAAAATAAATTACAAAGACGAAAAATTATGCTATGTTATCTTGTTGATTATTACAATTTTTTTAAAGCTAATTTTGATAGCCGAAGGTTTTCCTGTCTAAGGCAATAAAATCAAACTCTAACGATCATCCACATTAAGTATACCTATTTGCTTACAAATCATCATAGGATCAAGATTTTATTTTAAAAAAATCTTTTCACTTTTCCACTTCTTTTAAAATCAATTTAAGCTACCGATTATGTTGCATCTCTAATGAATACCACTAACCTAACGTAACCTATTGAATGCAATTTATATTACAGTGGTAATTTTTTTTGAAAATGAAACTTATTTACCTTACCAATTACGAAATTAATTAAAATGTAGCAATTCCATTCCTAAATAAAATTTATTAAGTCTAACAAAACACGACAATTAGTATACAAGAAACATAATCCTAAGATAAAGATTATCTAGTTAGGTCAAGTGTGTTACTGTACCTTGAATCGTTGGCGTCTGGTATTTCAATGACTTGAGGGCCCGTTTCAACAAACTCAATGTCCGATTCATTTGCCATGTCATCTTTTGGTTCGTTCTGTTTTTGTTGATCTTGTGAATTCTGAAAGTAAACATAGCAATTATTAAGCAAATAAACAATTTCATGTAATACTTATAACAGTACTATATATTTAAGAACTTTAATTACCAGGAAAGGTAAGTTTTGATTCTGTTGTAACTGCATATCTGTCATCATTGGCATCAGATTCTGTAAAAAAAAATGGGTTTTAATACATACTATACTTCAAAACACAAAAAAGCAATAAACTCTGGTGCCTTCAATTTATAAAACCAAAATCGGTTAAGAGTTTCTTTCTCATTTATTACAGAATCTATCGAGTCCAATAGATATTTCCTAAATTGCATTTTATTGACATAACAGCCACTCTTGCCTTGAATAGTTATTTTTATTTCCTACAGTAAACAACTTATTACTCTCCCATACTTGACAAATGCTGTTAAAGTTTAACTCAACATGTCAATTTAAAACTTTTATGTAAATCAAAATCAAAACTTTATAAAAAAATATTACATATATGGCTACTTGTGCGCCCTTCTCGTCCAGTTTGCAGGTTTATAAAGACAATTATGATAAATTCTTTTCAACTTACAGGGATTTGCATTCCAGTCATCATTTGCATTTGAGCTTGCAGGCTTTGTAGCTGTCTCATTATCTCCGGATTAGTCAATATGCTGGAAACAAAATCATAAACACAGTTAGTTATATTCAATCTATTTCAGAAAATTAACACAAGAAACACCATATTTATGTAACGTAATGATATTTTTTATGTAAATTCTGAAATAGGCATATAGAATTATTGTGCAGTTAATATACGGTCAATGTATTTGTAAGTCGTAGCACCCACCAATCAGCATTGGGCGTATGTAGTGGGTTATTTAATTACCCATTCTCCATACTCCATTTAGGGGAAGTTCCCCACCCAGGTGTCCCAGCAGTAGAGGTATTGATAGGCTGCTTATGGCTCAAGAAATTTGCAGGAAAAAAGCAGGCAAGAAATCACCAGCAATGGAATGCCTGGGTCGTCTAGACAATGTATGGAATGTAAGCTGTATAATTCGGCATTCTACACAATACCTAGGTAATGTATAGTATGCCAAAACTGTCAAGTCCATGTTTGAAATCTTATTAATTTTATACTTTGCCTAGGTATTGTATACAATGACGAATGAAATATTTGAAATATACGAAAAACGAATCGGCAATGTGTTGTAACGTCGTGTTTACGCCATTACTTCATAAATATTTGAAAGTTTGACATCCGTCACTTAAGAAATGTTTTTTAAATTGGCAACACTTTTAGATTTGCGTGCAAGGAGAACAGTCGCCCCTTATAGTGTGAGCTTAATTAAATAGGGTATTTGACAAGTTTCAGAAAACGATCTCACGCTAGTGACTAATGTTTATAGAGTCCGTAAAAAGTGGATATTCATCATTCTGTTGTGTATTTCAGTAAAAATCAAAAACTCCATTTTCAAGTTGCCGCGAAAACGTTTCTTTAGACGTCTTACTAGTGTGTGACGTCACACGACTGTTATTAAAACGTCAAACAATACAATGTAATGTCACTTTAACCGGAAGTTTAATTGCGTGACGTCATTTTAGGCTCCGCCAATCCCAAGCGTTTTGGGTCACGTGACAATAGATAAGAAAACTATTATATTTTTCGTTAGTTTTTAGTAAAATTATCAATATTTTTTTTGTAAAAATAGTTAAAACCCCTGCCGATATTCATTCTAAACACAGATGCTAACAATTGGCACTTTATTTTTAACACTGTCAAATACCCTATTCCTTAAATTATTATTTTTTAAACGCATTAAATTAAGAAAGGAGCCCCTGGCCACTAAAATTAACAATGAAGGAGCTGCAACTGCTGCTTCTTTTTTTTCCATAATTAAAAATTTTAATATTCTGTGTAAACCATAAAAAACAAGAGCAAAGATGGATTAACAAAAAAGGTTACCAGACTAATGCAATAAAGTTTATCCACAACCAAGAACATGTTATTTGAATCACATTAATTGGTTAGAAGAGAGAGGAACGCCTCGTCAACTATCATGTCAAAACTGGCCTTGAGATTAGAGGTTCGATGTTCTCCGAAGCAATTCTGGACATAACCAGGTGATGTGACTTCCAGGCGCCCATTGACCTTACACACCATGGAGTCGAGGCACCAAGTTCAACATCCACCAGCCTGCCATCACCTACAGCATCTCGGCTTAGCAATCGCATTCCCCTTTAACCTTTAATCTATTTTTTTTAAGTGTAAGAGAAGATAGCGCGTCGTCTTTTCATGCAGGAGACATGGAGGCAGACGAAACGGTGGCAGATGAGGTTCTCGAGTGCACTGGTGTCGCCACCCTGAGAAGACTGGGAAGACAGGTTTACTTCTGGAGGGAGGTGGGCTGGCTGGAATAACCGGCCAACAATGGTCCCCTTAAAGGACTTAGTGCGGAAACCTAAGGGGCCCTTTATGTATTACGTAAGCACTACAGGGTGGGGGGAGGGGTTTATGCTTTACTTATTTTTGATGACATGATCTGTGTGTGTGAGGGGGGGGGGGGGTCTAGATAGTGATAATTGTAAAAAATCTGCTTACGTAATACTTGAATGGCCCCTAAGCCCCTAACAGAGAACCTACCTGCCGAGTGCATCGGCCGGGTTGTGAGTATGGGCGTGTTGAGTAGAAACGGGGGCGGGAGCGGGCGAAGGCGCGGGTTCGTCCTCACTCTCGTACTCGAAGTCGTTCAGCAGCTTGCGGTTAAACTTCAGGTGCGACTGGCTCGATGGCTGATCTTGGAACTGCGTTGTTACATGAGCAAGTTTAAAAAAGCTTTCAACAATTCATATAACTGCATAATAATAGATAATATTTTCAGGGTTGTTGATTCTACTGAATAATTATTTAACAATGATGTATCCATAACTTTTATGTTGATACAATTATTTTTAAAAATTAGGTAAGCAAATTCTTACTTAGTTTGTAATTTAATACATTAATTGTTGAACCACCTTTAAAAAATTAATGAGTGCTTAATTATAATAAGTATTAACATAAATACAACTAGTTTTATTTAATGAGTGATGTGCGTGAAAACCTAAGAAACAATTTTGTACCCTTGAAACATATTAAATTAATGAAAAACATAATAACAATTTGTGTGATTGTCTTCTACATACCAGATGGTTTCCAGCCCATTGCTTATTTTTAATAAGGGCATTGGAATACAAGATTTAGGCAAGATAAATTTTGAGCTGACCTGGTCACCCATGGGTGAAGCAGAGCGAGGTGTGTGTTGAGCAACTTGCATTGGTGATCCAAATTTGCTATCTGAATTTTGAGTCACATTCAAACTGCTACCTGTAAAGCCAAACATATGATTTGTCTAAACCCAAATTGTCTTACTTTAATTGCTATTAAAATACTAGTGATGCATCCAATACAGATATATTGACTACAATACAACAAATCTTTTAGTACTTAAATTTTTTTTGTGTATGTCTTAAGGCAAAAATTCATGTTATTATATTGTCCCATGTATTTGTATGTTGCCACTGTTCTCTCTAATCAAACTAAATGTATGGGGTAGGTGGCTCTCTGGCGCATCGCAGCACTGTGCATCAGACAAGTATAGTTCTGCCAACACTCCTATCAGGCCCTGTCAGAACATCGGCATTGATGCGACCGTTGTCGCACCAGCCTTTATTATTATTATTCTATAAACCTCCTTTTTTGCAATTTAATGTGTATATGTAATTGGGGTTAATAAAACTATCTCTTTTCTATCTAATGAACTCTATAAAATTGTACAACCAAAAGTGTACTAATTTAGTGGATTCCACGACCACCCACTCTATACTTATTTATCAATTATATTCAATTAAGAAGTTATGTTGAGTGGGAATTGTCTTTCTTCATTTTATTATTTGCAAAATTTTACCATTAGCTGCACTATTTTGTTGTTGCTGTATTTCCTGATGAAGAGGATGGTTGGGGTCAGCCATGTCGAGGAGAGGTTGGATCACTTGAGGACTAAACACATTATTTTTCTGCCACAGGTTCAAAACTCGTATTATGTTGCGCTAAAATGTAAAAGACATTATTATTGAGAAAAATCTAAATAAGTTAAATAGTAATGTCAACTTGGATTTATGTAGTTTGTAATAACACCAAGAATATCGTCTTTTAAGTAAAAATAAAAAAGTGATGAGGATTAATCAACTTACAAAAAAATCATGAAAGACAGCCATTATTGACATATTCCCTAATTTTTTTTTTTTTTCAAACTTAAGTACTGACTGTACTTTTAGATAAATGTCATAGTTATCAGTAACTGCACTGTATAACCTAAAAATATTTATATAACAAACCTTTTCTTCAGGCGGACACCTGAAGAGGTTGGCAAATGTTTGCTGCATGTTCTTAGCAAATCGTGGGGCGAATACATCTTTGTCCTGTCCAAATTGATGTCGTGACTGTCTTACTATGGAATCTATCACATAGAGACCAGGAACTTTGTATTCTGGTTTACATTTTTGTATAAACTTCTCTACACTGTGTACTACGTGTTTGTAGAACTTGATGGCTTTTATAGCACCTTTGGTGATAGCACTCATTTTCGCCTTAGATATTGGAGGTTTGTTGTCGTACAACCCGGATAACTGTAAGAAATTCTTAGATAAAGTGATGCCACGAACAAATTTATGACACAGTAAATATTACTACACATTTACCTCCGCGTTGAACGATTTTACTTCCGACATATCCATTTTCTTATTATTTACAACTACTTAATTAATAATAAACTAATTTATGTTTTTTGGAGCAATTAATTTCGTAAAGAACATTTTTGCAAGCGACTCGTGAACAAGTCAACATGTCCAAAATTACAAAATGGCGTATATTATTTTTTTATATTTAGGGCTTGACTACCAGTCTTTTTGCTTAACAGGGTTGCGTTCCGGTAAATCATAATGATCCTAAAGTCCTCTACGCAAAATGTGTCCGTCATGCTAGCGTACCCCACATCGAGTTCGAGGTTATTACATATGGTAATAAATAATGCGTAAATAATGCCTAATTAGTGCAATAATAAAAAAAAACTTTCCCTTTAGTTTAGGAAATAATAACTGTTTTCATGTTCTACGCTGGCGTGACGATTAAGGTAACGTACATCAAGCCAGTCTCAAAAACGGCTTATTGTTATGCAACCAAATTTTCACAGAAAACAGTGCTGTAATAGTACGCACACTATGCAAATTTTTATATTCATAGCTTATAAGCGAACAAAGATATAGAACAAGACTTATAAATAACCTTTGGAGCTGGTGTACTGGTAGCGAGCTGCGAAAAATGCATAAAGAAAGTAAACTTCTCTTTTAGCAAATGATACATGTATGTAGTGCGTGAAATTCTGCCTCTGTTGTTCGCTGTTATCGTAGAAAGTGTATATAAATTCGCAATAGAATATTTAAAAAAAAAATGATGACAAGGTCCGGTAACAGAAGAGGTTACAGGCATGTTGAGAAGTGTTTTGTAATGTTTTTTTCAATACAGAACAAAACATAAATCTGACGAAATACTGATCAAGGACAGTAATTACTTCAATTTTTGTAGATAAAATAAAATTAAAAAAAATTGGTGAAAGAGAAATAAAATTTGGTGTAATTGAAATAAATAACTTAACCATTAAAATAGTATCCGTTTTACTAAAATTTTCCAAAAACAGTGTAGCACCAAGTACTACCATACTAGTATGTCATCACGGTTTGTATAAATAACTACCTTTTTATTGTAATACAATAAAAATACTTAATGTAACACAGTAAATGATCAAAAAATATATTGAGTAAAAGCAGTCTCATATTTAAAAACATGACTTTCTACCATACTAAAATATTAATTTGTACAATCATTAATGTATGTGGCAATCAAAAGGTAGGTACCGTAAATTTGCTAAAACTACAAAATCTTGTTTTTAATATAAATCACAGATATTTTTTTATCGAATAGAATAACGAATTCGCACTAGTGCTTAGAATATGCTCTAAGCCACTGTGCTCCCTCATTAGGCAGCACATACCCTAAGAGTAATCTAGTAAACTACTCATTCTTATTCATATCTATATAAAATGAACAAATTTTGTATAGTGTGGGCACTATTAGAGCACTATTTATGGTTGCATAACAATAAGCTGTTTTCGCAAATGGCCTGGTGTACGTTACCTTGATCGTCACGCCAGCGTACACCATGAAAACAGTTTATTTTTTATTTTTTGTTATTGCACTTATTAGGCACTATTTATGAGCATAACAAAAGCATTATAATATAATAAAATAAGTAACAGCCTCGAATTCGATGTGGGGTACGCTAGCATGACGGGCACACGCAATATCCATCTTGCCGGATAAAGCATGTTCACGTATATTATTTATATTAGGTATTTATCCTATATATCATGGATCCGGCAAGATATTTTTAGATAGTGCGCAGAAAAATTAATGACCATGGCTGGTAAACTGAAGAAAAATAGCAATAAGAATACTTATTTGCAGCCTGCATTGCGTTTAGCGGGCACGGAGTGAGCAGTTTTATGTCATTTCATAGAACAGCTGCGCGGGAGACCTGCCTCACGCAGCGCAGCTCTATGAAATAACATGAAACAAACACCCGCAGTGGACGCCCGCTCGATGCTCCCGCTTAATGCCGCGCAGACTCTTAAAGGGAGTTCTATTTACACGTTACCGTTAGATATAAATTCTTTGATTAACACATAAAAATGACAAAAATACGGTCACCCTATAAAAAAGTAACAAAAAGTCTCTGTAGTGCGCCTCTCAATAGGTTCGTGTTTTTTCAGTACCTAACAGTATTTCAGTATTTCTAAACCAAAAGGAATGATTGCCATTGGAATTGTTGCCATAATAAAATATACCTTTAGGGTGCGGCCAGAGTGCACTCAGATTCAGATTCAGATTCTGAAAACAAGCGCGAGAAATAAACAGTGTAGTCTAAGCAGGTTGCCTGCTTTTTCTCGCGCTTTGTTTTCTGAGTCTGAATCTGAATCTGAATCAGGAGTGCACTCTGGCCGTACCCTTCGACTACACTGTTTATTTCTCGCGCTTGTTTTCAGAATCTGAATCTGAATCTGAGTGCAGTCTGGCCGCACCCTTAGTGTTTTTGACTCGAAGCTTGACAGTTGACAATGGTTGATAACTTGACATTGACAGTTGAATTGTTTTGTAAAATTGTGAATGGAATTGGATTTTTCATTGTGAAAAAGCGGTACAAAATTACTCTTAAATTATGGAAGGTATCCAAGTAGTCACGCAAGACTACGTTAATGTCCTTATTACTACATCGGATAGTGAAGATGCACCGCCCGTTGAGAGAAGATTCAAGAAGGGGATCACAATTCTTGAATTTAAGGTTACATGATTCATACCTGTTTTTTTGTTTGTTGCTAATATTTTATTTCCACTTTCTAGTTTAAAGCAGTCTTACTTGATAACATTTTATAATTAACGACCTCCGTGGCCTAGTGTTTGGATGCTGGGTTCAAGGTGTCGCCTTCTCGGTTCGAACCCCGGAGGGGGGAGTCATGGATGTTTAATATGTATTTCTATGTAATTATACTTATATATGTTCAGTATATGTATTCTAACCTTTACCTTAGTATCCCATAATATAAGCCTTACAGTGCTTACTTTGGGGCAAGGCTAAGTGAGTGTTGGAAATATTTATTTATTTACTAATTATGTTTTGAATACTGACTAATTCAATCCTTGAAATTGTCGATTCTGACATGATTCTCTAAATTTAACATTAGTCTCTCCTTTTCATTCTTTATAGAGAATGACAAAGATACACTGTTAACAAATTTAAGTTTACGTTTAGAGAATCCTGCCAGAATCAACACCATTGTTAGATTAACGCAATTCTTTCTGTTTAAAAATAGTACTTTAATTTGGTGTTTTCTTACAGACTAAACTGGAACTGGTCACCGGTGGATCCGCAGCAACCATGCAACTGAAAGTTTATGATAACAAAAACAATTTCATATGCAACATTGATAATGATGAAGCACTTCTGGGCTCATATCCTATAGATGATGGCATGAGAATACATGTTATTGACAAATTTACATTGGTCAAGGATTTCACCAGTGCTGAGAGTGCTGAAAGGTAATAATTAGTAATAATAGGTAATAAATAATAATTTGTCAGTTTTTTATTTCATTAATACATGATGTTTGTTTTACATCCATTATCTGGGAGGACCTTTAAATAAAAGAAAAGAAAACAATTACATTTTATTAAATGATTTTAAAGATGATACAGTAGAATCCGTTTATTATGACTCCGCCTATATTGACCAACTGCCTATTATGACGTAATTACACAATGAAGTTTGGTTTTCATATAAAATTCATTGTAACAATGTCGGATATAATGACTTCACTTACAGTGACATGTCTCTTATTATGACCCATTTTTAATCAATTTTGTCCGTTTATAGTGACCGACATGGTTCTTTACACCTACGGTAATGTTCGTTGATTCAAATTGAACATCAAGCATTGTTTTTAGTGATATGCTATGTAAAAAAATGTCATCTCAACGTCGTAAAACATTTACGACTGAGGAAAAAGGTGCAATAATATGCTGATTAGAAAATAGAGAATCAAACTCATCTCACAATCTTTTTTTTACAAAAATGCTTTATATGACGTCCCCTTAGTATGACGTGTTTGTTGATTCCCTTCGAAGTCATAATAAACGGATTGTACTGTATCTCTTATTGTTGCCATAATTTCTTTGGTGTATATTTATGATATATTCATCAATTAACTGCTGTTCTGGTTTGTGGCATATGAACATTCTTGTATTTTTAGGGATCTTATTGAATAAGCATGTAAAAAATTAAAAAAGGATGCTTCATAATATTTTGTATCTCTGCACAGATTCCGCTTATCTGAAGAGGATTATGAGAAAAAAGATGATACTCTCCGCTCATTTCTGCTACGTAACAAACTTGGCAAATACAATGAAGAAGAGATGGCCAAACTCAAGGAACAACAACAGAAAGAACTAGAAGAGGAGGCTAAGTGAGTGATATTGAAATAATTGTATTAATATTTAAATAGAAATGTGAGGATCATAGGATATACTGGACTTTGTTAAATTCTTCAGACCCTTTTTTATTTTACTTGGTCCATGTACCACCAGAATCAGAAACATATTTTATTTATTTTTTAAGCATTTAACTGCTAGATGTTTAAATCTAGCAGTCCAGCCGCTGCCTGGACCGCGTGGATTTTTTTTCTAGTAAACTTTTCTTTAGATTTAAACATATTTTATATTTAGTTAAGTAAGTAACTTTTGATTTTGCTTTGTGGATATCAAAATTTTGTTAATGTGGTAAGTGTTAAGCTGATGCCATGAATGTTAATTATTATTGGCTATTTAAACTTATATTAATTATAAAGTTTCTAGTAGATCCAATTGTTATTCAATAATAAATATCACTAGATCATTATGATTCAGTATGAAAAACCTAGGACTAAGTAAATGAATGGATTTTTTAAGCAGGCCTTTCTTGCTAGTAAAGCTACTTTCACAATGGCCCATTCAATGCCCACAAACGCACATAAAAGTGTTGTTGGTCCTGGCTCTGCCTTTTTAAGAATTCTGCAGTAAAGAAGGCCCTATAATGCTCCATGAAGACATAAATAGGATGATGATGTAATGAATTGCGTTAACTGGTTCTCCTAGGGCTGGCCAAGGCAGTGCCATTGGGTGCATGATGCGGTGCTTGTGCTATAGCAGCCGACACGTTGATTAAGCTATTTGTCAATGTTCAATCATAGGATAGATGACCAACAAAAATGTATTATCTCTTCCTGATCAGTCCTAATTTTGAATTTGTGAGTATCAGGGGAATATTAACAAATCTGGCGCCTTAGGGCATTTACGATTTGCACTCCTTCCCCTAACCCCCCCCCCCCCTCCCCTTTAAAATTAGTATGTAAATCAAAATATAGGTCAGTAACGAATGTCTTTTTAAAGCTTCTCCCGCCCCTCACAGCCTGCCTCTATCTATTTAATATGAATTTAGTGATATGATTATTTATACTAGAAAAATTCTTTTGACGTTGTGGGTTACCTACAATGCGAAGAGATGGCGCAACCTTGCAGCTTAAGAAAGGCTAGAAAGAATTCGACACGGACATCAGGGCCGCGGTAGTATAATTGGTCAGTGCATTCACCCGGATAGCAAAGGGTGCGGGTTCAGATCTCGTCTATTGCCTGGTCCGCGTGGATTTTTTTCTAGTAATATTTTCTTTAGATGATGAATTTAGTTAGTGAATTCTCTCCCAAGGCTTGCCGAAGCAGTGTTAGTGGGAACACGATGTGAGGTCCGCGTGCCCCAGCAGCCGACGCGTCGCGCCACCGTGCGATACAACGGACCGCTAGATGGCGCCAAAGGCATCTGGATCGGTGTGCAGTACGACGAGCCACGCGGCAAGAACGATGGATCGTGAGTGATTTCATCATCATCATCATCAGCCTATGAATGTCCCCACTGCTGGGGCACAGGCCTTCCCTATGGATGGAATAGGGAGATTGGGCCATGACCCACCACGCGGGCCCAGTGCGGATTGGCGGGTGCTAACGACTGCAGATGCAACCGGGACCAACGGCTCAACGTGCCTTCCGAAGCACGGAGGAACTCGAGATAGAAAGTTTTGGTCACCCATCCAATGACCGACCACCGCGAAAGTTGCTTAACTACAACTATCGCAGCCGAACGCGCTAACCACCTGCTCCATCGAGCTCCTCAACAAGTATTACATAAGCAGATTTATTACAATTATTTACCCCCTCCCCCTTGTCAGCAAAAGTAAGCAAAGCTCTTACCCCCCCACTCACGTGCTTACGTAAACATTGGTATCTACATGCATTTTTCCTTTAATGTATTCTGTTTTTTATTGATTTATGAGCTTTCATGAGCAACAGTACTTAAATAGGCTTAGGATAGAGGACTTTAACGCACATAATATTCATTTAAATAAACTTTATTGACACAGTATTCAACATTGAGTAAGGTAATATTACGAACAAAACCACTTTTTTTCCAATTTTTGGTATATGTATACAGTCTTCAGTCCATGACACCCGAATCCATGATGCTGACGTAATCACTATCCCGACCCCCACCCCCCCAGGTCATCAATAATAAGCAACGCAAAGACCCCCCTGCCCCCCTATAGTGCTTACGTAATACTTGAACGGCCCCTTAGCATTGGTGTCTGTTTCAAGAGGCTTCGGCGGAGGGCGCCCCTTAGCCTCATCCATGGACAGAACAGCCTTTAGTTAGTTAGTTAGTTCTTCAGGGCGGTTTCCGCACCTAGTCCTAATTATTGGACCATTGTGCGTGTCTCAAAAACATTCCCGTTTACTCCAGCCAGCCTATATCGGTCCAGAAGGAAAGCAACCTTGGTAGACTGCTGCAAGCTTCCGGAAACGATTCTGGTGACTGGAGAAGTCGTGCCCGTTGGTCGGCCACACTCCTGCATTCCATGATGACATGCTGTGGCGTTTCTTCTGCCTCCATGCATCCTCTGCATAGGGGGCTGTCCGTTACTCCTATTGTATATAGGTGTTTGTTTAGGGGACAATGACCAGTCAGGGATCCTATAATCCTGCGAAGTTTGTCCCTATTTAGTCTGGTAAGGGTGCGGGCAAAACTTTTATTTGCCGCCGGAACCGCGTTTTCCTTCACCTGTTTTCCACTCCGTCAAGTGTGATTTTTGAGTTATTTCACGCATCCACGTTTTCATTTGGGCCTGAGGTATGGGCAGCAAAGGTTCCGGACCATACACTTTTGTGTCTGCTACAGAACAGCCTTGCAAACAGACACGTGGTGGAGGACTTCAATGGATTTTCCCCCTGATAGTTAGAAGGAAGAAGTTAATCACAACTCCAGACAAAAGTTGTAGAACAGTACCCTTAGCACGAACCAATATCGAATTCGTAACGTTTTCCGAGTCCGAAATGTCATTGTCAAATTTTGTATGAAAATCTTGAAAATTAACGCCATATCGTATGTAAAGAGGACTAAAAATCACTGTACATTTGACAATGACATTTCTTGCTCGCAAACGATACGAATTCGATATTGGTTCGTGCTAAGGGTACAAGAACGCTAGAAAACAAAAGAGAGGGGGAAAAAGTGGTGTTTAGTCGACAAATTAGAAATGATATAGAAGCTTTACTCTCTAACAAAGTTAGCTAAGACCGAGTTCCAAAGTGCAAAATACCTCGGTTCGGCTACCAATAAAATAATAAGTAGTTATACTAGGCCTATATGTTTTGCTTTTGTAAATGCTTATTGAATCTCCACACTAGACGTCTTTAGTAGTGATAAAAATTTGTTTAGTTTTGGCATTTCGAGGGCTTGTAGTTTCATTGAAACACAATTTATCGAAAAAAAGGAAGACAGGAGCATAGAATGACTAAAGTTATGTTTTATTAGTATGAAAAACATTTCTTTAGTGATAACTATCAAGGGGGAATCAGTCGAGTACGTTTCCGGAAAGAACATTATCCGCCTCTCTCATGGGCCCAGAAATTACATTTTAGCCTAAGCAAGTTATGAAACAAGCGCTCAGCAAACTATTCCTGTTGCAGTGTAAACGGCAAGCGTTATTTCACGTGCCCGCCCAAGTACGGCGGGTTCGTGAAGCCGGTGTATGTCACCGTGGGAGACTACCCTGTTGAGGAGTTCGACCTCGACGACGAGATATGATCCCGTGACGTCACTGCTGCAACATCCGCCTAAACACGTTGGAATAGGGATGATGACTATTTTTTTTTCTTTGTTTATCAGGTAGGTTATCAAAAAGTATTGGACACGTATTTTTTCTTTTTTCACATAATATAAACATTGCAGAGATATATTGATTTGAAAAGTCGCATGACGTCACGAGTCCCTACTCCCAAACTTTGACGCGATATAACTTTGTCATTTTTTGTTTGATTGCCCTAAGAAAAAATACGTGTCCATTAATTTTTGATCATCTAACTGACGGACTAAATAGAATTTCGTTTACTGTACCCCGTCATCGCCCCTATTATATGTTGAACACTTAACTAAGGAATCTTTGGTGATATTGAGCGAATTCTGGAGTACCATAAGGCCATTTTCGTACACTGGTACATATCATAATATAGTATAAGGTACATAGTTATCAAAACTTTATTATACATACCTAATAGATGCAGTAGGTATACATGCATAGACAAGGAAGCCAGCGTAGTAGCAATTTTTCATACAAAAACGTCTACTGAGCAAGTTAATTTGTCTGTGGTTTTGCTCAAGAAGTTTGCGGCGAAAATGGGTATGTTGATAGATGTTGAAATAAGACAGTCTTAACTCATCGGCCATTCACCATTATAAAGATTCCTTAGTTAAGTGTTTAGTTATATAACACAGCATTTCATTTGCGCTCTTGAATAGCTTATAACAAAGTAAATTATTAAGTTTTGAGATCTCTAAACATGTGCATTGTTTATATTATTTTTATAAATTAAAGTGTGCAACTATTTTAATACTGTTTAAGGTACTTTTTTGATAGAGAAGAAGCTTTGCACAATAATAATAAAGCTTACTTTAGAATCATTTAATAATCATGTTTACTTGCTTCGATTTTGTCAAATAAAAATGTTTTATGTAGATAATGCAACTTGCACATAACTACAAGTCCCATTATAAATTCTTAATTCTAATTATATTTTACATAATGCTTAATTTGCTTTATTGTCAATAATAATAACTTTAAATGAATAAAGATAAAAATAGAGAATAACACCTTCGCATTTGGCCTTTTTTTGTACAACTTATTTTGATACTTTCCCATTTTTGATTGATGAAACAGGTTTTACAAATTTATAGTAAGATGCCATTTTTTAGTCTTGTATCATATTATAAAGTTGATAAAATGATGTATGTTTATGTTAAAATTATATTTAAAAAAATATGATTGGGACTGAATTGCATGTAAAAAAATATTTTTAAATATTTATAATGATAAAAATATATATCATGATGCTAATAAATGCTATATTGATTTTTACACATTCCACATTGACGTTTCTATGTAAACATTGCGTTATATGCTTGGAAAATAATTTAGGTTGTATATTCGATAATTATATTTTAACAAAATAAAAATATGAAAACTGCAGTAGTTCTTTTCTTCACTTTACCCTGAACAAGAGATATCGTATAGTATATATATAGTATAGTTTGTTACAAACTAATGTACTATTCTCACATACAGGCGCGCGTTGAAGCGCAACGCCATTATTTAAGTCAGTAGGTAAGATCTAAAACTTAACAATGCTTCAAGGTTACTTCTTACAACCTGGGATCCTTTGAAAGGGGCGTGAAGAAGCAACATGCCGGCCGGCAGGGTGAGGATGGCTGGTGTGGCAGGTAGAACTGCTGTACCAGCTATCTTCACGTCTGAACTTCACCATCACTTAACATCAGGTGGGGTGGAGTTATTTGTCGGAGCTATCTATAAAAAAAAAAGTCGAGAGTACTAGTGTTTATAGTAAGACCGTTAAATGTATGGAAATAAAACTTCGATGAGCAAATATGTCTCGTTTATTTATTAGAACTTCCTTCGCCTCAGTATCTCCGGGCGCCCGTTGATTGGATGCGTCTCCTCTGACGCGGTGTCGTCCTCCCGGTATATCTTGACCGTCATGTCGGCTTCCGCCGTAATTAGGCCAGAGCCGGACATGAATGGTTAGACATCGAGAATAAAGGTAAAATTGAGCAGATAAGTGTGAGAGAGACGAGCGTTGGTGCGGCCAATAGATCGCATAGGTATTGGCTGCACCATCGCTTTTCTCTCTATGAACAGAATTGTCAATTCCACGAGGTCGGCTCAGTCCATTATCTATGGTTTAGATCCAAAACTTGACACTGCAAGTGGCGATACAGTCAGACTTCTATTCCCGTATTAATAAACAAGGAATAACCTTAGACTAGTTACGCCGTGTTTTGTTCATGTCACTCAAATTCCATTTGTCATTCAATAGACAGATACAAAACATGGAGTAACTAATCCAAGCGTCATCATCATCATCAGCCTATTAATGTCCCCACTGCTGGGGAACAGGCCTTTTCCCTATGGATGGAATAGTGAGATTAGGCCATGACCCACCACGCTGGCCCAGTGCGGATTGGTGGGTGCTAACGACTGCAGATGCAGCCGGGACCAACGGCTTAACGTGCCTTCCGAAGCACGGAGGAGCTCGAGATAGTAAATTTTTGGTCACCCATCCAATGACCGACCACTGCGAAAGTTGCTTAACTTCAACGATCGCAGCCGAACGCGCTAACCACTTGCGCCATCGAGTTCCTCGTCCAAGCGTTGTCTTTGTTTATTAATAAGGGGGTAAGGGTTTTTATCTTGCAGGATATCGTCGTACCATAAACATCAAGAAATAAAAAAAATTTTGGTATATGTCTCGTTTATTAACTAGAACTTTCTTCGCTTGAGTATCTCCGGGCGCCAGTTGATTGGATGCGTCTCCTCTGACGCGGTTTCGTCCTCCCGGTATATCTTGACCGTCTTGTCGGCTTCCGCTGTGATGAGGCGAGAGCCAGACATATCGAAAGTCATCGCGAATATGCCCGCTTCGGAGTCCATCGAGCCGGGTTGGACGGCAGACTGTGAAAAAAAAAATGTTGCCAGTTATAAAGATGGCCTAATGATTTCTATTAATCGGTCAGTTTAGTACCTACTAATAGCAGTGTTGCCAGAAAAAGAGGATATTTCGCTTTAAAGTTTTATCCCACAACTATATTCTTGAAACACTTGCCCGATAATAGACTTAAAAGTATTAAAACAGCTAAGTTTTCTTCTATTGAAAACACCTACATAATTTTTACTGTGGACTTTGTTAACAAGAAATTTTGTATTATTGTGAAGCAAAGATTCTTGAAATTCAACCTCTGGTGTCAACATAATAAATCATAGTTATATTTTTGTTTTTTTTAAGCATTTAATAGATGTTAGGCTAGGTGTTTATTGTTCCGTCTGCTGCCAGGTTCGCGTGGAATTTTTTCTAGCATAACTTTTTTAGATAATAAATCATTTTTCTATTTCAAATTGGAATTACGGTGCCAACTTCGAAATTACTTTAAAAATCTAATTTTGAAATTAATATTTAACAATTCATATAAAATCAGCCGAAATATATACCTGAAGTCTCTGGAAGTTATATCCGGTCCGCCAGTCCCAGCAATACATTGTTCCGTTGTCTCCACCGCTCACTAACACCCCTTCAGGATTAACCGCCATACAATTCACTATCGCGTTGTGTCCCGACAAGTTCTGAATAAACTTGCCTTCGGGGCACTTCCATTGCTTTATATTGTCCGGAGAAGCTGATGCGAAAGAGTATAGAGTCGGGTGAATCACTATTGAGCGTACAGACTTCTTGTGGTTAGTGAGTGTGCATAAAGACTTGCCGGCTGCTAAGTCCCATAGGCGGATCGTGCTGTCGTGCGAGCCAGTTATGATCTAGGAATTAATAAATAAACATTATATTTGTTTCTTAGGTTTTCACGCATCACTCATTAAATAAAAATTAGGTTTAACGAGTTAATGCACAAACAAAGTAAATAAATAAATAAATTATTTATTTACTTTGCCGAGCTACCTTCGAAAGACTTTCCAAATACCTAAGTATTTCGAAGGTTGCTCGACAAAGTAAATAAAAAATCATTATTCTGACGATGCAGACCTGAAAAGGCTGCGAAACGTCAATAAATAAATAAATTTCGTGCATTAACCCGTTAAAACTAGTTCTTCTTCTTCTTCTTGTTGCTACGGGCGTTTCCGCAACTCGACTCCGAAAACTAGTTTTATTTAAATAAACATTATGTAAGGGAACATTTTGATTCTGTAGTCAAAATATTGCAAAAAAGGCCTACAATAAATTCTATTTGCCGATTTTTTGGTAATTATGTTGTTTGGATAGTTACTAATAATTAAAAACAAATTTGGAGCTCCGAAAAACATGTGCTACCTAGGTGGTGCCCAAAAACCATCGAAAGTTTTCGGTCCTTTTCAGGTTTCTCGCTTATAATTTATAAAAGGTCCGTTGTAGCTTGAACGTCTCTTCGTACATTCTAAAGTATACAAAGTTAATTTATATTTAAATACGAATGCCGCTTCAAATCTGTAGGTCTAATAGGTTTTGATATACAGCACTTCAAAATTGGCTATTTTCCCCAAAGTCTATTCACCTGCGGCTCAGCAGCAACAGTATTAGTGTGGCCCGCGAGCGTGTGCACGTTGGCCTGAGTCCTATGTCGCTCTGCTCACCTGCGGCTCAGCAGCCTGGCAGCGCACCGCGGCGACAGTATTAGTGTGTCCCGCGAGCGTGTGCACGTTGGCCTGAGTCCTATGTCGCTCTGCTCACCTGCGGCTCAGCAGCCTGGCAGCGCACCGCGGCGACAGTATTAGTGTGTCCCGCGAGCGTGTGCACGTTGGCCTGAGTCCTATGTCGCTCTGCTCACCTGCGGCTCAGCAGCCTGGCAGCGCACCGCGGCGACAGTATTAGTGTGGCCCGCGAGCGTGTGCACGTTGGCCTGAGTCCTATGTCGCTCTGCTCACCTGCGGCTCAGCAGCCTGGCAGCGCACCGCGGCGACAGTATTAGTGTGTCCCGCGAGCGTGTGCACGTTGGCCTGAGTCCTATGTCGCTCTGCTCACCTGCGGCTCAGCAGCCTGGCAGCGCACCGCGGCGACAGTATTAGTGTGGCCCGCGAGCGTGTGCACGTTGGCCTGAGTCCTATGTCGCTCTGCTCACCTGCGGCTCAGCAGCCTGGCAGCGCACCGCGGCGACAGTATTAGTGTGTCCCGCGAGCGTGTGCACGTTGGCCTGAGTCCTATGTCGCTCTGCTCACCTGCGGCTCAGCAGCCTGGCAGCGCACCGCGGCGACAGTATTAGTGTGGCCCGCGAGCGTGTGCACGTTGGCCTGAGTCCTATGTCGCTCTGCTCACCTGCGGCTCAGCAGCCTGGCAGCGCACCGCGGCGACAGTATTAGTGTGGCCCGCGAGCGTGTGCACGTTGGCCTGAGTCCTATGTCGCTCTGCTCACCTGCGGCTCAGCAGCCTGGCAGCGCACCGCGGCGACAGTATTAGTGTGGCCCGCGAGCGTGTGCACGTTGGCCTGAGTCCTATGTCGCTCTGCTCACCTGCGGCTCAGCAGCCTGGCAGCGCACCGCGGCGACAGTATTAGTGTGCCCCGCGAGCGTGTGCACGTTGGCCTTGGTCCTCATGTCCCACACTCGTGCGGTGCTGTCCCGCCCCGCCGTTACTAGTATATCTAACGCCGGGTGTAAGGAGAGAGTGTATACCGCTGACAGGTGGCCGTGGTAGTGACGGATCACCTGGATGGGAAAATCAAAACATACACTTCTGGACAGGACCATTTGCCTACCAAGCATTTTTTTGACGGTCCCTAGCTAAAAATGTTACATTGAGATAAAAGTTATTATATACACAGTTTTTTCAAAAATATAACTCAAACATAAACATATGTTTCAGTTAGAGACCGTTGAAACTTATAACACTAAGTGGGCCGATAGATGTGTCCGGAGGGTTTTAACCTAATCATGTTTATTCCCTTTTTTCCCGGTCACCCCAGTGGTGTTTGCTTCCGGAATGGAAATCAAAATTTATTGCCTCCACTTCAATTTCGATGTAAGTACATTGCTTTCTCCATCGTCGTAGAAAAGTAATAGGATGAGGCCACTATTACTGAATCTGCAACTTATTAGACTATTATCAAGTTCCCAGCATAGTAGTTACTTTAACTTATAAAATTTGAGATTGTCAAAATCGTGCGTAATTTTTTTTAATTATTTAAACTTTATTGCCAAACATAAGCAAACGGCGAAATTAATGCCATAGGCATTCTCTACCAGTGATTATTTTTTATTTTATTTTATTAATCTTAAACATAAAAATAAAAATATAGAGAACATTAAAATATGTTTCATTTTTATTTCAGTTTAAATAAACTTTTTAATATAAAAAAAAGGTATTTTATTGCCACAGACAGCGAGTGGAAATTTACACTGGCAACTGGCAATCCCCGCAAGGGAGACTAGAACTAAAGGGTTAATACCTATTCATTATCAGGCATGTTAATAATTTAATATATTTCTAATGCATTATTATTTAAAACTATAAAAAATTTGCGCTTCTTTCTCCTACATACACATAATTTATAATGCAATGAGATTTTGTATTGGAGCTGAAAGCTTCATTTGGTAATATTTGAGTAATATGATAACTATACCAAAAGTTAGTAAATTACTGTTCTTCCAGCCAATATGAAAAGTTTCATTCAAAAGGCATAAATAAGTGACCCAACAAAACTAATAGGAAAAGAAACTGATACATAGCTTAATGTAACATACCTTATTATATTCCAAATCCCAACACTTGACTTGTCTATCTTCTCCGCAACTAAACAAATAAGGATGTCTGGTGGACACCTCCAATCCTGCAGCATAAAGTTAATACAGTCAACAACAGGCCAGGGAGCCAATCGCCTACCGGTATTGCTATGGCTATCGCTATTACTTACGATTTCATTTTGTTATTACCGACCGCTGAAGGATTTCAAATACCTCACCCTTTCCTTAATAATGTTATTGCAAAAGAAAAAAAAGAGAGCGAGCCATTTGAAAAACTTCGGCGGTAAGAAATAATTAAAAAAAATCGTAAGCGAAAGCGATAGCCATAGTAATCCCGTCAGGCGATCGCACCCCAGGTAATCAAAAACTATTTTCTTTCCAACTGACTGGGATTTACCTTGCTTCAAGAATCCCAATTCATCGGCACAAAATATTAAGAGACAAATAAAGACAATAGACAGTAAAACTTTTCAAAAAGTAAACAACACCATGTTATTACCAATTCTAACTAGAAATATTTGGATTTTTTACTTAAAAACTTTAGTATTTTTTTTACTATTCAGATTTAACCTGTTCTTCTCTACCTCTAAAAGCAAATACACTAAAAACCAAGATGTTATTAAAGTTATTAAAGAAAAAAACTGCTGAAGTGGAGATGGGCAGGTCATACAAAAAGGGGAGATGACAAATGGAGCCAAATTGTTATGACCTGGTACCGCAGGGAAGGCAATGCAAACGATGGGAGAACGAACTTGCTGCTGCAACTGGTAAATATGGACCAGAATTGCTTGGGATAGAGATCAATGAAAGTGGTTGGAGGAGGCCTTTGTTTCAATGTACACAGATAACAAATAACACCTTTAAAAGAGGCGTGAAGAAGCAACATGCAGGCCGGTAAGATGAGGATGGCTGGTATGGCAGGTAGAACGGCTGTACCAGATATCTTCACGTCTGGATTTCACCGTCACTTAACATCAGGTGGCGTGGAGCCTATCTATAAAAAATTATAATAATAGGTATATACTTAAATTTGAAACAATAGGGGTGATGACGGGGTACAGTAAACGAAATTCTATTTAGTCCGTCAGTTAGATGATCAAAAAATAATGGACACGTATTTTTTCTTTGGGCAATCAACCAAGAAATGACAAAGTTATGGCGCGTCAAAGTTTGGGAGTAGGGGCTCGTGACGTCACTTTTGAGTGAATTTTCACTTATAAGTGTACTCAAACGTGACGTCATGTGACTTTTCAAATCAATATATCTCTGCAATGTTTATATTATGTGAAAAAAGAAAAAATACGTGTCCAATAATATTTGATAATCTACCTGATAAACGAAGAAAAAAAAATTAGTCATCATCCCTATTGTAATCTGAAATAGGCTAATAAGAAAATATACCTCTAAAAGAACTTACCTCTGACTGTGCTCACATGACCAGTAAGGGACACCTTTAGTTTACCACTGGCCAGGTCCCATATCTTTATCACTCTGTCAGCCGCACCTGTATACAACAAAGAACGAATATTTTAAAAGTCTATTTACATTATAATTTTCTATTTTATATTAGTTAGCACAGCAGCTTTCAGCAACAACTTTTAAAATTAATTAGTGATAGTTTTTCCAAAGAAACACATGTATGAAGAATTTACATGGAGGAAACATGAAATTGAAGAGCTTATAGTTGGTTTTTCAGGGTGGTTTCCGCACTTAGTCCTAATCATTAGATCATTGTGCGTGTCTCGAAACATTCCCGTTTACTCCAGTCAGCCTAAGACAGTCCAGAAGGAAAGAAGCCTTGGCAGACTGCTGTAATATATATATCAGCTAAATTAATAATAATGTTGTTACATACCCGTAGCAAACCACTCGTTCCCTGGCTCGACTGCCACACATCGCACCCAACCGAGATGCCCTGATATAACTCTGAACAGTTTCCAAGGTGCATGCCACTTGGGCTTGGGCATTGCAGGAGCCTTACGTGGCACGGCAGTAAGTGCCCCCGCTGGTGGCGCTGGCGCAGTGGGGGAGGGTCCAGTGTACGGCAACATTGCACCTTCCGAACCCAACGCTGCTGATTCTGCCATATCTAAAGGTCATATTGAATAACTTAGGTTATTAATACTTTAAAGGGAAGAATATATTTAATCATCTTAACTGTACGACACTCACTGCTTAGGCCATATATTTAATATGATTAGGTTATTTCTGAAGCTCTGATAGGCTATGGTGGTTTAGAAAATTTGAGAAGAGATTCAATGTCAAAGGTTTAATTTCATTTAAAAATTGAATACATAAAAAAAAAGTTTTTATGAATTGAGAAAATGTACTAAATCCAACAATATTAAATACCCTAGATACAACATCACTAACAAAATCGTGGCTGAAACCTGTCCAAAAGGTACATTGGACGATCCATGGAAAAACGACACTATATAATATTATAAGTATTTTTTTTGCATTTTCCATGGAGCTCTGTGGCAACTTGACTTATCAACGGTCCGCATGTGACTGTGAACCAAGAAGTGCCTGAGTCGTGTTGAAGCACTTCTTGATTGGGACACATTTAGAGCACACATGGTGTATCTAGGGTATTTGATATTGTTGACTAAATCTTGCATTATACCTATGTCCAAGGGTGTGTCCGGTCTGCTGAGCGCTTCTTGTTGTTTAACAGCATTTGCTTTCTCAACTGTAGCCATAACTTGACCATATCCATCTCTAGCTTTGACTGATTTCAGTACCTTCTCCCTGTATTGTTGAAATTGTTATAAATATAAACACTACATACCCATTCAAGATATCATATATTGGTGATATTTCTTTTATTGTATAAATTATTTAACACTTGTAAACTTATGATTTTATTTATTTTTAAGCATTTAACTGCTAGATGTTTAAATCTAAAGAAAAGTTTACTAGAAAGACTTGTAAACTTCCTAAAGCAAGGTGAATAAGACAATACTTAAATGAAATAAAACCAGAGGCCCTAGCCAAAGTTTCAAAGATCCTTAATCATATTGTCATCGTAGAAATTTTGTATGGAAGAAGCCAGTTTGTTCTTACGTCTAGTAAGGGCGCTGCTTAGTTTTAAATAGAAAATTTGACGATGCGATTACAGAGTTGTCAAAGTTGATGCCTGGGCCTCTGATGATAGCATAGTAAATATTAAAAATATTGAGAAAATTGGCTTGCAAAAGAAATGGTACTAATTAAAACACTCTGCTTTAAGTAGAACTTTGCTAGAAGTTTGTAATATGGGTAAGTTAAATCATAAGTGCTATGTATGTACAAACTTTGTTTAATAACCATTATCAACTATCTAGCTAAAGAGGACACTGAAAGTATTTAGCATAATATATAAACATTGTCTTACTTACGCTTTATCGTCAATAGGTGGTAGCATGCTGTGGTTTGCTAGGAACATATCATGGGACCTCTTCAAAGATCTGAACACCAGAGTGTGCACAGAATGTTTAATAATGTCGTCAGCCATCTTAATAACTAATAATATCGGTGTGGTTATATTATTTTTATTGGTTTAGAGCACTTCTATTATATTTTTATAAAAATAGCACGGAAAGTAGTACACTCATTATCGTCTATTTTAATTATAAGTGAAAAATCAACAACAACTTAGGTTAGGTTGGCGTCACGTCAACGTCAATGTCATTTTGATATGATTTTTTTTTAATTGTGTCAGTCGTTTTTGGTAGTAAAAAGATAAGCCATACAGCCTTGTTATTTGTAATTTTTTTCATCAAGGATGAACCATAGATATATGTCGATGGGATATGGGATGGACAGATGACAGGCATGCACCTATTTTTAATTTGCATTCATAACTCGATGGCTGCACCGAAATCTGTCTACACTCGTGAAGTGAGCTCACATATCTCTTATCAGTGTTCTTCTGAACACAGTAACAGGACGTCTTTAATAAAAGTACTGCAGTGATTTTTAGCGCGAACAGTGTGCCTTCTGAAAATGCACTTACAATACTAGAAATACAAATAAAGCTAAATGTGTAACATTTAGCTTTTCACTCATAGATATAGTATCATAAGGACGGATTTAGAAGTTTGACCGCCTGAATGACGACTGTAACTTTCATGCACCTCCTTGTTTATATTAATGAGCTGTGTCAACATTCATTAACAAATGGCATTATTTTACTATGAAGACGTTACGGCATTGATATTACACGGGGGGACTTAATATGCAGTAAGTCATCTATCAAGATTCCACACAGCTTTTGCTAGGCGACAGTTTGTTTATTTATCTAAGTATATTTACAATATAATAATGATTTTTACCTATTAAAGACGCGAAAACTAAGACAAGAAAATTGTTACTTACCCTTAATTATGACTTTACCGAATCTTTGCTGCTAAACTAAATTCCCCAGTTTTTGATTTGCACGTACATTCACTCACTCACGCATACACCCACCCATAGACACACTCGCATACACACACATTTACACACAGACACACACTCTGATTCATTCTAATCATATTCTGATTGCTTTAATTATTTAAAATAATCTTTGTCTGATTGTAGAACTGTTTTGTTACATAAATAATTATGATATATGTATTCGGAAGTGGGCACTGACCTCTGTCATACAGGTCTTAATCCTATTAAAGTGGTCAGGGACTACATTATGGCTATTTGGCTTGAATGAAATCTTAGGACAATATAGGAGGAATAATTTATATAGGAATAAGGTGACGTAATGTATTCAATAAATATTTAATTGTATAAAATTCGACGGTACTGTTCTAATAAGTATGTATGGCGCAATAAATTAATTGCAAATTAACAAACAACAGTGTAGATCTATTAATTCAGATTAAGTGTTGGGTACACAGTAATTACATGAGTATAAAATAGACACCGACTTCATTACTTATTTGTTGACTAGAAATTACAGTTGCGACTAGAGGCGTAGAGCATTTACATTGCACACAGTTTCTCAAACCAAATGTTTTCTTATTTACACCAAAAATGTAAGCGAACTATTAATAGATAAGTTAGGTAGTCCAAGACCATAAATGGTTTCAAGTCTCATTGTACGTGTTGAGGTGATGACGCACTGCTGATTTGTCTACGAACACAAAAAATATGAAGTTGTGATGTGATTTGGATCATCCAGGTCTCATGTTTGAATTGTAGTAGGTATGTAGTTCGTCGACATGGGAGTTCATCACGATTTTACTAATGTTCCTCAAACGAGACGATCGACATTCGAGTTTTCCATCGATTGCCAGTCGTAATCGATATCGGCTGAGTCGGCGACGGAGAATACCGCGCCAGTCTCGGTTCAGATGGCCGACTTCTCGGGATTGTTCGCATCGCTCACTCGGCGGGAGTGGGGGGCCCTTCGCAGGGTCCTCGGTTGAAGGTTGAGTGGGGGGAGATTCGGTCGTTCGATGCGCGTCGGGGAGGACACGAGAGGTCTCCCACGGCGCAGAGTGTCCATTCCATTGCGGAAGTATTCTTCGGTCCTGTCACTGTAGCTCTCTATAAGAGGCGCTGGATCTTCATATTCCACATTGAAGTGGCGAGTTATCGTGAGATCTTCCGGTGGTCCGAGCTTGTACAGCGGCGGTTCCACACATTCGTAGTGGTGGTCTTCGGTTTCGTCGTGAGGGTATGTGTCTGCGACGAAGTGTCTTGTGCCTCGGGGCGTGAGGGCAGCCCACAGTACTCGGGAGTCGAGGGCAGCACCACCGTAGAGAGCATTTGAGCCGCTGGTTTTACCAGTACCGCTCTTGCAACCGCCTCTGGCTCTGTGAAAATGATATTTATAGACTCTTCTATGAGACCACAGTAAAATACATGACACTACGTTTTATGATTTATTCAGAAGGTCAAATTGAGGATGGCTGGAGTGCTACAGTTTCCTGTCGCATCAGCCAGCTATCCTCGCAATCGGGTCTGCACTAACAATTGAAACCTAGTAGAGTAATTTTCTACGGCACCTTCTTATATAAAATGTAAGTAGTGCAAAACAAAAATCAACATGGCAAATAGTTGCAGATACTTTTCAAGGCAAAGGAATGCTTCATCAGGTGGGTGCTCATTTAAATTCCATGGTATCAATGGTTTTTGAGCATGAAACTAGTGAATGAAACTCAACATATACAACTTTAACTTGAACTAAAACTGATGTCACTTTTCTTTGCTAAAAGAAGACAGAGTCAACATTAGGTTAAACCAAGACTAACTCTAGTCCGTGTTTTGGAATAAGGCAGACAGAGTTTGTGCATAACAAATGTTTTGCAATAAAAGTAAAACTCACTCTCGGCATTTGAGCAGGAAGAGCGCAAGCAGCGCTGCGATGCACAGCACGGCGATGCAGCAAGTGATCAACACCAGGAACCAGGTGTCGTCGTTGCCGGCCGGCTCTGGAAATGACGGCTCTAGTGAAACAAACTCGCGGCTCAATACCCACGTCACGGAAAATATACCTATTTTAAAGATAGGTACTTAATTAAAATTTTCTTTGGGTAAGTTTTGGAAAAGTTTTGTAAGTATAGAAATATTAAAATAGGTAAGTAACTACCGTACCTTACTTCTTACAAAACTTTTTGCTGGATTTAATGGAACCATGTTCCGCTGTGGTGGGTAGATTATGATTGAGTTCAACAAATGTGGTGAAAATATAGTAGACCTTTACCCTATAACTACCAAAATCGATTGTGTTATACCCGCTGTGATAAGAATTTAAATGTCCCAGTCTATATTGTCTTTGTATTCCCCCTTCCCTTCCACTACAAAGCGAAGATGACCATTAGATAATCGTATTATTTGTTTGTAGTTTTCTATATTATAAATAAATATGTCCAACAAACAACATTCACGTATACACTGATCTGATTCCAAAGTTAGTAGCTGGAAGAAATCAGAGACAATAAAGTTACCAAAACCATAGAACCAAACCAAGACTCAAATTGGCGGTGCTGGTCAAACCATTACCGCTTTCGCTAACCTTGATAAATACTGACAATGCCGGGGTAGAACGCGTAGTCCTCGTTGTGCTGTAGTTGGAGACGCGACATGGTGGCGTCATCCTTGGTTTATTAAATACTGACCATGCCGGCGCAGCTCGTGGTACTCTATGCAGGGGTCAAACTTGTTGTCCTCATTATGCTGCAGCGGTGGATACTTTGAGGCCCGGCACAGCGGCGTTAGGTTGGCGGCTCTGGCCAGGAAGGCCGGCAGTGGCGGTGGTGACATGTGCAGGATCGAATCCGGAGGTGGGGCCAGGTTGGCAGTGCTGATCAGGAACACGGAACTTGGTATATAAAATACTTGCTATATTAGGGCAGCTCGTGGTACTCCACGCCGGGGAAGAGCGCGTTGTCCTGGCTGTACTGCAGTTGGAGGCGAGGCAAGGTGGCATCATCCTTGGCATATTAAATACTTATCATGTTAGGGCAGCTCGTGGTACTCCATGCTTGGGAAGAGCGCGTTGTCATTGTTATGCTGCAGTTGGAGGCGCGGCAAGGTGGCGTCATCCTTGGTATATTAAATACTGACCATGCCGGGGCAGCTCGTGGTACTCCACACCGGGGAAGAGTGCGTTGTCCTCGCTGTGCTGAAGTGGGGGACACTTGGAAGCGCGGCATGGCGGCGTCAGGTTGGCGGCACTGGCCAGGAACGCCGGCAGTGGCGGCGGTGGCATGTGCAGGATCGAGTCCGGAGGAGGCCCTATAGATAGGCATTCTGCCCCGCATGTCATTCTACAAAAGAAAGGGAACTGTGTATTTGATAGCACAGACCTAGATTTCTGTAGACCACCACACATGTGTTTTAAATTGTATGATTTTTCGAGCTTGACTGGCGTAATTAGCAACGATAGTACGATGACACGATGCGTTCTCGTCATGCGATGATTTTCAAACATACAGATTTCTTAGAGGTGTCCTAATTCAGCTCGTAAGCCGCAATTTTAATCGCACGATGAGATCGCATCGCGCCATCGCACGATCGTTGCCAATTAGGACGACGCCTCATATTTTGAGTACCTACTCACAAGAACAAAATACTAAAGTGGTGAAAAAGTATCGGGTCCGGCTATTGTATAGCTTAATATGGTACAATCAGAAAATTTTCAACAATCGATTTTGAGGGTCAGTATCAAAAACGTTACGCGAAGGAATAAAAAAGAAGCATTATTGGAAGAGCTTTGCTCTCCCTTATGGCATGTTTTTGATACACGAAATACATATCGTTGCGTGAACACACGAAGAACGTCATTGTAATTTGTCCTGGTAATGACATATTTTTAAAAGTTATTTTCGTACGTTTCTTGTGAGCTAATAAGATGTTAAACAGGTGAAAGGAAAAAACATTTATCGACGATTCAAAGGAGCTTTCAATGAGTCAATTTGAATAAATTATATTTTCATATCCTTTCATCATAAGATATTATAAAATTCGATGAAATGTATAGATAAATACGACCGCGACGGTACTTTGAAAACGCGGAATTAGCCTGTGCGTAAATCAGGTATTAATATTAATCATTTATTTCAGATAAACATCCATAGAATTATTAGTACCAGTTAGTAACAATGTCGGGCTTATCCTGTGTTAGTATTATTAGTAAATTAATTAATTATTTTTAAAAATTACAAAATTTTCTATTAATTCCCGTCGATGATCACACTCACACTAATATTATAAAGGCGAAAGTTTGTGAGTGTGTATGTTTGTTACTTCTTCACGTCTAAACGGCTGGAGCGATTGTAATAAAATTTGGTATGGAGTTAGCTGACACCCTGGATTAATACATAGGCTACATTTTACTGCGGGAAAATATCCCTAATAAACCGCGGGTAACACCGCGGGGCACAGCTAGTTTTACATATGCCGTAAGGGGGCGTCACGCTTTTTTTTTTCTGATTGAAACAAAAAGAAATATACTATTTTGGTCCATTTAATCCAGATGCATTAAATTTTAAGCATGTACAATGCTTAAAATTTAATCATAAGCGTAATCGTAATACGATTAAGATCATTCACTATTTCGTTCGAAAGAAATAACTCTCAGCAATATTGATTACTAGTCTTAACTAGTCGTAATAAAAGCACGAAGCATTTTTTTTTCTTTTAACAATAACAATCCAACGCATTTAAGTAAGAAACCCACATTTTGAAAAATCTCACGTGAGATTGGGGGATGGGGGAGGGGGTTGAAAAAAATCTCACGACATCTCACCAGGGGGGGAGGGAGGGACAGAAATGGACGCCCCCTAGGATGATTTGATAAATCGAATTTTCAAAAATTTTGCAAAAACGCGGAAAATTCGGTAACGGAGATGACATTTTTCAATGTTACTGAAAAAAATAGGATTTTACGAGTTGCCTGAGTAAGATCGCGAAAAAAATCGTTGGCTTATTATAAATATTCTTTTGTTTTTGGTTTCCAGTGTATTACTTTTCTCTATAGTTTTTGGGTTCTAGTCTAGGTTAGATTATTAGTGTTATGACCATGCCGCGCGAGTCAAGCGAGCTTAACGAGTGTGTCGAAGGGCCAGAAAAAAAAATCGTTAAAAGTAAGTTTGAGCAATGTCATCGCCATTGTCTAATTATCCGTGTTGTCGCAAAATTCCTAGGATATTAGCGAAAATTCGATTTAACAAATCATCCTACGCCACACACAGCGGGCTACTTCACTCCAACACATGTTACATATTATGTTGATTGTAACCAGAGTCGAAATTTGCAACAAAGAGTACCGTACCCTTAGCACGAACCAATTTTGAGTTCGTATCGTTTGCGAGTCCGGAATATCATTGTCAAATGTGTAGTTCTCGTTACGTACTTTGTGCCGCTGCTGTTCAAGTTTCCATACAAAATTTGACATTGACATTTCGGTTTGCAAACTAATCGAATTCGATAATGGTTTGTGCTAGGGGTACCGCACTGCACTAACCCTCATGTTTCCCCCGCGAAGTTCTGGTAAACTTACACTTCTCTCGTTTTCCTTAAAGACGGAGGACTTACTTTGGCGGGCTCTCCAAATAGAGCGGAGGATAGCGGCTTTACAACGTTTGAGAACTAAAATAGTTCAAAACTAATACTAGACAAGAGATTATATTGCGCATATAGTTTATGACCTTTTTTTTTTTTTTTTTGTGACGAGGGGAAATGCAGTTACGCACCATACCGTGACGCTGACTAGGCGCACGGCGTGTGTGGGACTCGCCGGCACGGGAAACAGTGCCGACCCTACTCAAGCAGGACCAGCGCGGAAGGCCACACTGATATAGTTTATGACCTAGATTGAGACAAAGGATACTTTTTATCCCGGAAAAATGTAAGGTACCTGAGGGACTCCCAAAAAACTAGTTCGCGCGTTAAACACGGACAAAGTCGCGAGCGCCCGTTCTCTTTTTAAAACACTTTTTAAAAAGCGGGATTCATTTAGTTAAAAAAAATGATAGAAGATATCTAGAAGTCATAAATTTATAGAGGTTCAGTTTTGCGACTACGGAGTCTGTAATGTGTAAAGAATTCAGTAAAACCAAATAAATCGCGCCGACATGTACATAGATGTATTAAAACTGATGGAATGTCTTTTTACTTGTTAAAAAAAATCTAAGTAATTACGTCGTTTTATTGTCAATATTTAATATCATAATCCTGAATTGGCAACATAACAAAAGACTATGAAGAATATCCATCTAATTTTTCTTTTCAAGTTATAAATCGATTTATAAAACGTTGTGTAAATGTAAAATACATATATTATTAACTGGTATCAAATAGTACTTCTCAATTTAAATTGTTATAATCATAGATGGAATGATCGGTCTAGTATAGCGAGACCAATCATTTATCTATGGTTATATCATATCAAAACTAAATTTTTTAGGGTACAAACTTTTAAAACTTTACCTTTACCTTTACTTAAATAATTAGTGCATTAGTATGAGTTATGGAGAAATTAGATATTTCTTTTGATAATAATAGGTATCACAGCCATTGTTTACGGAACTAAGGCACAAGCTCCAAGGAAGCAACTTGAACAACATGATAAGTCAAAACTCACACAAACACTGTAATCAAAACGTAGGTATATACTATGGCTTAAAAACTTACTTTAACAGGTTATTTTAACAATATTCTCACAAAATGGATGCACTTTACTACAGTTCAGAATTACACTTGTCCAAGGTATGGTCCATGGAGGAGAAGCGCAGGCGCGATTCTCTACTAGAAACTTCGCAAACATGAGAAACATCGCAACTTTCACAGTTGTTTAATAAACATTGCTGCTTTGATACGAAACCCTCACAACGTTCACTAATGAATAGCGCAATGGATAAATGAATAGGGATCTACTCAGAAATTAAGCTTCGAGACCTGTGTTATTGGTAGGGAGGTAGTTATTGATTCGCGCAAGCGCGGGAAGATTTCGCGACCCTTGTATTAAGGGTTGGATTATTCGTTTGACGCTGGGGTGGATTTATGTATAGCTATCTCGTTTTATTCTATGCAAAAGACCTTAGGTGGACGCGAGACACAATAATGAATTAGAATACAGACTGAGCTTTAAAATCGTAAATAATTTGCTTTATTCAACTAACAACCACTTTGGGCTCGGGTATTTTTAATTGGTATAATTTTAAATAAAATTATTGGTATTGTTCTCTCTCTTATAAGATTTACAATGACCTATTGTTCAAATATGAGATTTTAAGCCATTACTTAATTGGATTTTTAGGGCCCTTATTAATAGACAAAGAATAAGGTTTTTTTTTTATTTGGCTAAACTTTTTTGGTTGGTAATACTGGTTACAAAGAATATCCGTGTAAATATATGCATACAAAGAAAACATCAACTACTTTGCAACCCACAAGCACATCATGCATTTCTTATACTACCTAACTACCAAGGATTAATATAGTACATATAGGTTAAACTCAGTACCTAAAAAAAGTTAAAGTTAAGACTAAAAACTAATAGAACTTAATCAAAGAATATTGATTTTAAGCATTTTCTGGTTCAGGTTTTAGAACCTTTAAATATGTCGAAATCATTTCGAATAGTATTATAGGATGAAAACATTCTATAAAGTGAAGAGTGATTCCCGAGTCTTATCTTACAGGGGGGCAGTACAAAAGTCTTTCGATTTTGCAGCCGGCTATTATTTCTGGGAACTGAAAATTTAATATGCATCAAAATATCTGGTGCGTCGATGTGACCATGGATTAATTTGAATAAAAACATTGTACAACATTAAAAAACATTATAAGGTTGGATTAGTTACTGTATGTTTTGAATCTGTTAGTTGAATTATAAATAGCACTTGATGGCATGAACAAAGCACGGCGCGTAACAGTCTAAGCTTTTTCCTCGTTTTATTTAATGATGACAAAAGTTGATTTGATTTTTTGATTGCAGTATATTAGGGTATTTGACAGTATTAAAAATAAAGTGCCAATTGTTAGCATCTGTGTTAATGAATATTGGCAGGGATTTTTACTATTTTCGCAACAAAAATATTCATAATTTTACTAAAAACCCACGTAAAAGATAATAGTTTTCTTATCTAATTGTCACGTGACCCAAAACGCCTGGGATTGGCGGAGCCTAAAATGATGTCACACGCAAGTAAACTTCCGGTTAAAGTGACATAACAATGTATCGCTTGACGTTTTAATAACAGTCGTGTGACGTCACACACTAGTAGGACGCCATATTGTCCAGAGAAACGTTTTCGCGGTTATTTTTACTGAAATACACAACAGAATGATGATTATCCACTTTTTACAGACTCCATAAACATTAGTCAATCACGTGAGATCGTTTTCTAAAACTTGTCAAATACCCTATTATAATTTTTATACCGGGGTAGATTTCAAGAATAGATTCAGGAATATAACATTTAACAGGTTAAAACATACACTTCAATAAAAGATTTTCGTAACTTCTTATATTATTACGCGTAATATATTTGACAAAAGCTCTTATATAACTGGAATAAAAATATTTAACAATATGCCCAACGACATTTAATGTCATAATTAAATTAAAGAAATTGTTACTAGATAAATGTTTTTACAATTTAAAAGAGTATTTTCGAAATTGTTAATAGCATTTACAGTCGATATTTTATTTTTGACGACCTCTGTTGTCGAGTGGTTTGTACGCCGGGTTTCTTGGTGTCGCCGACTCGAGAGGTCCCGGGTTCGAATCCCAATGGGGGCAGATGTTTGTGTGATGAATACGAGCATTTGTACTCCAGTCATGGATGTTAAATATGTATTTCTATATAAATATGCTTATATATGTACAGTTTATGTATTCTATCTGTTACCCTAGTATCTAGATACGGCACTAACCTCACAAAAGTGATCCGGATAAATTGTGGTCCACGACCCTAATCGCTTTAGTCACAACTTGACATGCAAACGACGTACATGTGAACGCCAAAAAGAAATATTGCTAATATTTTGGGTTTATATGATAAAACAATGCCTAAGTGTTTTTAAAAAGTGCTCAAATTGTTCAAGAACTAAAAATAAAACCCACGGCATCACTTTTCATTCGTAAACATGTACTATAAAATATATTTTTTCATAAAAATTGCTGTTTATTTTGAATCTTATTCGGTAGTGACGTCGAGTACTGGTCGCGTGATTGGTCGGTAGTGCAGTGACGCGGATCTCGCTGTCTCGTTCGCGCTGCCGTTGAATCTTATCGTGCTGTTTCGTTCGGGTCGGTAATGCAGTGACGCGGATCTCGCCGTCCCGTTCGCGCTGCCGTGGGATCAGTTTTAGTTTGATGCAAGTATGAGCGTACCGTATCTACCCTTTTTGTTTTAATCTAAGCTCATAACACAAGCCTTACAGTGCTTACTTTGGGGCTAGGCTAATTGGTGTGAGAAAAAAAAATGAAAAAATAATTGAATATTGTACTTCCAAAACGGGCAGCTGTTTTAGAACTAAGGCATTACTTGAAACACCATTGTACTCAGCATGAAAATACAGCTTTCTATTCTAAAGAAAGTTTAAACGTGAAAATAGCATAAACATAGCAGCTAAATAGTCTATACACAGACCCATACATATATTAAAGATTGGTCTCGCTACGTAGCGACACCAATCATTTATCTATGCACATACCTAATAATCGTTTTTGTCACCATTTCTAATAAGATTTTAATTTGAGACAACTTGTTTTTTATAGTTTTATACTGGAAGAAATGTAAAATAGATCAAAATTATAAAAAATACATCGTAGCTAAACACATTATTTTACTGTATTTTTTTCTTTAGATATTTAAACAAATCTATCAGTTAAATATGGGATGCAGGAATATACGAAAGATAAGAGTAGGTAGGTACCTAGCTACTTTTCACAACAATTCACAACCATCAATATAGTGACGAGGTCGCATATCCTGAGTAATACGATATGGAGCCGGCTTATAAAGAGAATTTAAATTAGGTATTTGCATTTCCAGAGTCCAAAGTCCATTACACGAGGAGCTCAATGGCGCAAGTGGTTAGAGCGTGCGGCTGTGATCCTTGAACTTAAGCAACTTTCGCAGCGGTCGGTCATTGGATGGGTGACCAAAAATTACTATCTCGAGCTCCTCCGTGCTTCAGAAGGCACGTTAAGCCGTTGGTCCTGGCTGCATCTGCAGTCGTTAGCACCCACCAATCAGCACTGGGCCCGCGTGGTGGGTCATGGCCCAATCTCCCTATTCCATCCATAGGGAAGGCCTGTGCCCCAGCAGTGGGGACATTAATAGGCTGATAATGATGAATGAAATTATAATGATTTGCATAGATCCTATCATATCTTCGAACCCGCACCCTTCGCAATCCGGGCGAATGCACTGACCAATTATCTTTAGATTTAAACATCTAGCAGTAAATGCTCAAAAAATAAATAAAAACATAACTATAATTGCTATTTCTTCTTTCAAATGTTTAATACTATTTCAAGTATTTATTTGACATTGTAGGTTACCTACAATGCGAAGAGATAGCATTGCCTTGCAGCTTAAGGCTAGGAAAATTTCGACGCGGCCAACCGGATTGCGAAGGGTGCGGGTTCGAGTCCCGTCCGCTGCCTGGTCCGCGTGGTTCTTTTTTCTAGTAAAACTCTTCTTTCGATTTAAACATCTAGCAGTTAAATGCTTAAAAAATAAATAAAAACATAACTTCGCTTTACTTCACACACCATGCCATTTTCACATAACATTTCGTTTGGTCAAGCTCAGGCTGGTTCATAAAAATGGTCTCTACACGGGCTTATAGCCTACAATAGTTTTCTACAGAGAGAAGAAGACATCATTTTATTTTTAATTTTATGTAGAACTGCATTTTCAGACTGTTTTTTAATCGCCTGCCACAAATAAGAATCAACCTCGTGAAATAGGAAAAAAATCACATCAGTACCCCTAGCACGAACCAATATCGAATTCGTAACGTTTGCGAGTCCGAAATGTCAATGCCAAATTTTATATGGAAACTTGAACAGCAGCGCCACAAAGTACGTAACGAGAACTAAAAATCAATACACATTTTACATTGACAGTTCGGACTCGCAAACGTTACGAATTCGATTTTGGTTCATGCTAGGGGTACAGGTATTTAATAATAAACGTCGAGAGGGTTAATCATAAGGATATTTTTTTCCTAAATAACGTAGCATTTTAAATTAAAATACTACGTCGTTTTTTTTTCAGATTTCGCGAGTTTGATTCCGGGTTGTAGCAGGCGATATTTAAAAAATCTGTGAATGCAGCTCTACTTATAATTAAAAATAAATAGATGTCTTCTTTCAGTAAAATATCCTATCTTCAATATTCAATAAGTATACTTTCCCTCCGTGTGGCGTGACCGTGGGAAGCCCTGCATACTTTTTTTTCTTTATTTATTTAGAGGCTTTCATTCTACGAATATGCCAGCCTCATCGTACCCTAACCAAAACATACACAACTAATTTAATTTAAAACATTGGAGAGGGCGAGCTATTCTTACTAGCGAAAACTATATCAAACATCGACTTTGCAGCATCTGAGTTTGGTAGTGCTAATATTTCCACAAACGAACCTATATTTTCAAAGTTAAGTTGATATTGTTGTATGAATAGCTCTCTCTCTCTTCTGTTCTTTACACATTCCATCAAAATGTGTTGGACATCGTCCACTTTGTTACATACTTCACAATGAGGGCTATCGCGTAT